TGTTACCAAATTTTCGCAAATTTTTCATTTGCGAAGTGTGTTCACTTTGTTGCTTCGCAAAATTCGCAATTTCGAAAAAGTTATGTTGCGATGCGAACATGCGAAGTCCTAATGAATACCCTCATTGTTTCATGAAAAAATGCTAAGCGATAAAAATGCATATAAATTATGTCAGCTTGTCACTTGAATAACGTAAATAAATTTATTCTGAGTGCATTTAATAATTTTCTTACAATTCAATTTATCTCCTATGCAAAAATCAGGCTGGTAGTAAATAATTCAATTAAGATCCAAATCCAACCAACTCAGAAATTATTCAAATAATTCAATACCTTGAACAATAATGTGTTAGGTATATATTTGTCCCTGAACTTTTGAGTAGGCTACCCCATAGAACTCATGGGATTAAATACAGAGTCCGGATTATGCAGAGAGAAATGCATAGGCAAAGTTCATAGGATTATGTAAATTCATTACAATTTCCAAAGTCCAGTCCCAAATTAATTTCTGATTTCAAACTCGCTCGAATGTTTATACGCGTGCCTACTTAAACAGATCAGAAACAGCGGGCGGAACTAAACTAACTATTTAAGTGGTTAAACAATAGTTTTGCTGGGTGTGATTACAAAACATTATACTTTCCCTTTCAAAGAAATTGTGCCTGGTTTCCAATTTTACGGAAATTCCATCACCCACAATGCTTCACATACATAGTTGAGGTGAACTACGCAGTGTACGTATGTAAGTAATATTATTGCTCCACGTGTGAGGTTGAGTGAGTGAGGTGAGAAGATAATTCCGTTATCCTGCTCCCGGTAGTAGTTCGGCCGACGAGAATAGAAATTCGGTTGGAAAACTTGTTTAACAAGGACAAATCTAATCCATTTAAAGCCGGATGGGAAATTCCACAGGGACTTCATTTGAAAGGGTTTTTTAGAGATTAGCTTCACTCATCTCGTCATGGTTTCAATATATTTCCCCTCCGCGTCCCCATTGTCCGTCCGAGAATGACATTCACTCACTTCCACACCCACCAAACAGAGAGAAAGGTCCGTCCTGCCTCACTGGCTGGGTGAAGTACTCCTCGTAAATAGGTTGTGGGATGACCAAATGTGCATTCGACACGGGACACGAAGTACATAAAAATGAGAGACAAGAATACCATGTCGAATGTTGTGTAATGGAAATTTTTGGAAATGCTTGGCAAAATTTGGGTGTATTGATTTGTATTGATATTTACGTATTTAAATAGGTACTTGCTGAGAACGTACGGGTTTTGGAAGATTGAATAACTCCTCTCGAATCTAAATTAATATGAATAGATTGGTCGTCTCACTGACTGACTGACCACAATGGAGGAAGGCTGAATTTGTTAGAAATGTTTAAATTCCTTCATGAATTTAGCTCATTTATCGAATTCTCTATTCCTTGCTGAATATCTGTCGCGGAATCCTTATCAGCAAGGCGAGCAGACGTAAACCACGAATCCGACGAGGATATATAACTTTTATAGTGCATCAAGTATTCCCACTTCCTTCCTTCTCTTACTTATATCAATGATTCTTGAGGGAGTTGAATGCCACTGACGAAATTAACGTGACAGGATGATTGAGTCGAGCTGGTTCGTTGGAATGGGCAGTCTCGAGCATCAATGAAATCAAACTGGGGTCAAGTTATCTTATGAATTGTGAAAGAAAAAAATTACTCTTTTCCTGTCCGTCCAACACTGTTCCTTAATAACTTGCACCTCCCCAGTTATCAAAGAATTGCAGGTTTCAAAGCATCCACCACCAAGTTTTCTAGAAGAATTTTTCAGGAAATTTACGATTTAGGTTTTCCCACATGCTCAAAAAATATTCAAGAGCGACTTGCTGTATTCTTGAAGGGTAAATTTCTTCCGGGAGAAAGCTGTTCTGAAATTCTTCTTCATCCTGCTTCATTTTGAGGGGAAAGAGTTTTGGTTTCTTGCAATAATCCTTTTCCCACTTTAATTTTGCAAGTAGTGCTCGGCTCCAGCGACTGCTAACTTATATACATTTCCAATCTGTGGAAATCTTTCAAGCAGTTGATGCCCGGTTGGTTGGAGCTTCTCAAAATGCAATAATGTGTCCATGTAAGCTGGCAACGGTATGTACATATGCTTCCTCTTCCTCCTCCTCCTCCTCCTACGTCCTTCACTTGAATCCACTCGTCCTACGCCTACTGCTTACAACTCTTCTGGGGTGGAGAGAGGGTCACATATTGTGTTCTTCGGCTGAGTGATCGCCAAGGAGGAAATATTTTTGAGCTTGTTCAATCCCTTTAATATTCGCACATTATCCCCGCTTGCTTATTTCTTTCCTTCATCATCCCCACTCACGACTGTTTACTTGTCCCACTCGTCATTCACTGAACTGCAACAACCGATGAAATGACCTGCCTGCCTGCCAGTAGGAGCAGCCCAATCCAAATAAGTCACTCTTGGGAGGAAAAGAGGATTAGCAGAAAATCCAAAAAGTTTCTCTTTCTCTCGCTCTTTTTGATTCCCTATCAGGACGACGGACGTACAAGTGGTCCAAAATTTCTCTGAGATATTATTGAGCTGTAACTCTTCCTGGCTGCATCATGTAATTCCGCACTCAATGATCTCTCCAATGGAACATCATAAATGAGGCAATTCAGGGGAAAATGAGCAGCATCGAGAGTGACCCTATGAAAATGAAATAGGGTTTCACAGCCAAGAATTATGTGAATAGGGACTCTTAGTTGGTCCGAGTTAGTTAGTTCGAAGGAGCCGGAAGACCGAGTCGAGAGGTATGAAAAGAAAGAAAGAATTGAAGTCGTGCCACGCCATGTCCAATCCAATGGACCAAAGCAGCAGATCCACCACCAGCACCATCACCACGATATTCCTTTGTCCAGAGTGAGTTTAATGCACACCGACTTGGCGGCGATCCCTTTCTACCGTTTAAATCATGAAGAGAAGGGAATTGGAGACAGGAAGTGAGCAAGAAGACTTGTTCAATGCTCATGAACCATTGGCTCACAATTTTGCTGGAGCTTCAACTTTCTCCATCCCTCAGGATGAAGGTTAAGTGTGGTGGGGACGGGTGAAAGCATAAATTCTTTCCATTTTTTGACCATTTGGACGCCTATAAGCATCCCTCCTCCCATTATTATTAGTTGGTCGGTGGCGGCGGTGGTATAGATATACTGGTCAATCAGCTAGGCACACAGAGGTAGCTGCTCGTCCGTCGTCGTACCCTCCGTTTGCGTCAGGCAGACAGACAAGAGAGGAAATTTGCTAGGAGGTTGTGTAAACTAGGAATTATTACCCATCAATAATCATTCAGGAATTAAGGTACACTAGTTCCTCATATTTTTCGTGTCCCGTTTCAATTTGATTTCTCCTACGCGTCCCAAAGTAACTTTCCTGGAACGAGGTTGTCAGAAAGAGTTGGGAGAGAGAAATGTGCCTAAAGTAATAATTTGCTGGGGAATAACTAGGATGCTCCGCAATCTCTGATTTTATTTAAATTCATTTATCCCTCCGACGAGCACGGAGCCTGAAGAAAGAATTCTTTCTCCTTCTCCTCCCATACACAGTCTCGCACAATCCCCAACAGTGCTCAACTGCTGGACCATGAGCCCAGTAATGGTGGACTCGGAGGAGAATGTGTTGGTGCCTTCTCTGTAAAATCAACAAACGAGGGGGAAATCAAAGTTTTCAAGACAATAAATTGAGCTTTGGTAGGCCACCCACCCATGCAGACGTAATGCTGGAGAAGGAAAAAGATGCAGTGAAAGAATTGAGTGAATCCCGCAAGAAATAAAAAGAAGACAAACCGAGAAAGAGCGTGAGTGAGATGCTTTTTCCTCTCTCTCTCCAAGAGCTGGAGAAGATTCTACTGTGATTTAGTGGGAAGAAGATGATTCCATCCAAAAGATGTAATCCTCTCAGAAATCAGTCAGACTATTCGATGCAATTTCCGCAACCCTGCCACCACCAACAATCCACACCACACTCCTCAATAGTCTCTTCTTCCTCTTCGCCTGACTATTCACCTAACCACAAAAATAACGAAATTCCTCCAAATCTCCTCGGCAGCTCTTCAATTTCTATCATCGTCCCCTCAGCCTCGCACATTGGGTGGTGGTGAGATCATTTCTACCTTTCTTCCCCACATGATGCAGTGACAGCACCATGTTGTTGGCACTAATATGGTAAAGTATTATCGTAGTAGGAGGAGTGGCGTGCTGGAAGCATGTAAAGCTCCCAATTGTAAACACGAAGCAATAAAATATGCAGCAGAGAGGATGGATGATTCTCCGCGATGCGATGCGATGCTGCGTCTGCATAAGTGCCCTTGGTTCAGGTTTTGTTCGTGAACCTGCATCAATTGTTGGGAGGAGTGCATCAACCAGGAACATGAACATTGCAGGAAAATGCAATATCCAAAATTACTCTGCTAGTTGAAAGCATATACGCCCGTTGCTTTCACTTCCGGCGAAAGAAACCACATTGCACTCTCAATCCTGGGCTGCCATGCTGTTGCAACATTCCTGCATCCCAGCCGAACGGCAATAAATCAAGTATGGGCTCGTAATGTCGGATCGTGTGCATTGCCTGGCATAGGACGACGATTGTTAATAAGGCATCTTACTCGTAGAAGTAGAAAGGGTTGCAAGCAAACCATATTATTGTCACCTTGTGCTCGACAACATGTGTTACACGTCCTGCTGCACCCGTTCATTTGTAAAGGCGGCATTTTTCTGGGCAGCCTTACACAATTTTGACAGGCAAGTGGGGCTAAAATGCTTTACCTTTTAGTAAATGCATGCCAAAAAATTCAAGCCCAATTTGACCTAGGGTTGCAGCCAGCAGAGAAAATAATACGCGAAAACGGTGGTTCCACTTGCATTTTTTTTTCTACCGGGCAGATTGGCGAGAGTTTTGGTTTCTCCTGCCGTTGAAATAAATACTCGGTCTGCTGGGCCTCCCTGCTCAGTCGTCGGTTTAGGGTGCACGAGCACGGAGGGACACGGACAACCCGGGTTGAGAATATCTCACTTTACACTTTTCGACTAACTCTCGAGCTATAAGGAGACCAGCACGGGGGAGAATTTTGGCACAAGTGAAACCGCTTTCGAACCGAGCACATCAACCAAGAAGTCTTATTCATAATAAATAATATTCAACTTGTGGTGACCAGCGAGAATAAAATCTTTCTAAAAACAAAAAAGATTTGGGGAAAAGTAATAAAACTGGTGAATACTATTTGGCAAATGAGTAAGGTGGTGGATAACACGAGGAGTTGAGAATACTGTGTGCACCAACCAGCCCTGGAGAAGGAGGAGTAGCATCTTTCTTTCAGTAACAGTCTGAAGTAAAAAGAAAACTTGGTGGAATTGTGCAAGTAAAGAAGAAGAAGTTGCAATAGTTGAGGCAGAAGAAGATTTTAGAATTTACCTTCGTCGACTTCTTTCTCTCTCCAAGTTGAACAATAATTGAACCTTTTGAAACTTTGCGGGACTGGAACAGAATCAAAAGTGGCATTTTCTTTAGACATAGACAGACACAACTTCAATCCAAGAAGGAAACCAATCCACGCGTTGGCTGGATTAGGACAAAATCTCGAGGAAAACCTTGAACACGGACGAACACCACGGTAAGAAATAGGAGTAGCAGGACAAGGAAAGTGTATCAGTAGCAGTGTTTCTTCTCGTGGTGCAATTTTGTCCAGAGTTGAATTGATTGGAGATGAATGTGCCCTTGCTGCAGTTACGCCTCAATCAAAAAATCTGATGACAGCAGGTCACCCTTTCCTCCTCCAGGTCCAATTCAGCAACAAATTGACCCATGTCGTAGACTCAATCACGACCAACTCCTCTTCTTGTTTCTGAAATATAATCTCGAGATTAAACGAGGTTCACTGATATTGCACGCTGGGCAAAAAAAACGAATTGAAGAGAGAGAGAGAGAGAGTATAGTTATTAGAGGCCGAATTTTTCTTAAAAAAGACGACAACGGGGCAAAAATTGAACAAGTGGAAAAAGAAAATCTTTCCGAGGAGGATTATCCCATACGGGGAAGAAAACACATAACTTAACAGACCCAAATTGGATGCCGTTTGTCGCATCATTTGCGCTCTGACTGTGTCTCTGTCGTCAACCAACATTTCTTATCGTGCTGCCGTTTTCATCTACCAACAATCTCTAGCAACTCTAGTGCACATTTCCTGTAATTCTAATCGCACCAAGGCTAATAAGTACCTCAAATCAAGACATAAAGTGTGTTGACATTGCCCCAAGTGTTGGTATAATAACAATGATATTTCGGTAGTGATTTGAGGTCTGACTAAAAAAAAAACAAGGACAAACTGCAGATGTGGCTCTATCCCATAAAACCATCGCTGATTGAACAACAATAATAATCATAATAATAATAACAGACGAGAGGGGACACCAGCTGGAGAAAGTACACACTTCTGTTGAACTCGTCGTCTCATTTCCTTCCAATTATAAAGGTACGTACATACGTTTTATACAGTCAACTGATTGGAAATGTAGAGGAGAGATTGAAAATTAGAACGCCTCTCCTCACTGACGAGGAGGATATGGTCCAGTAGTAATAATACTGTATGGTTCTTCTGCTTCTGGTGGTGATTAATATTCAACCGCAGTAAATCCCATTAATTATTTCCATTCCAATAATAATTATTATCAGAAAGCCGAGTGCCTAGTGAACCGTGGTTGTTGGTTGGAGAAGAGGAGAGGCAGCAGTAGGGAAATAAGGGCATATTTTACTTTTCTGTCTCTGTCAGCTCACTTTCCTGATGCCTTCTCTCTCTTCTTCTTCCCACGAAAGGGAATGAAACCAGCGAACAACAATTTTCACTTTCCTCGTTCAAGAAACATTCAATTTTCTAATCAATTCTTGCCGCTACTCTTCTCATGCTCTTCCATGAACTAGTCAAGCAGAAACAGATTCCATTTCTTCTCAGTGACATTCTAGTTTATAGTTTCCAACTTATTAGTGTCTTTGAGGAGAAAGTTGGTCCGTTGGGTGGGATTGTTTCTGAGAGAAAATGTACAAGCCAGGAACACTGTGTAATTTTAAACTCATTTTGTACCAATATAAATTAGAGGAGGATCTCCCTTACATGAGAAATACATTCATGCACGCAAATAATTAGTCAGACCCATAACTCGGTCGTCGTTAATAGGGAAAAGTTTGGTTTTATGGCAATTAATCTTTCCAAGCTTTTAGAAATGCCTTTACAGAGAAAAGTTGAAAGTGAAACCGACAAAATAAATAGTACGCAAAGAATAATCTTAACATGCGAGGAGAGAATTTCTATTCAAGTATCGAAGTTGACGCGAGTAGTATTAGAGTTGAATTAGAAAAGGCTGTATTCCAAATTGTAAATTGAGCCCAAAAGATGAAACCGTAGTAAATCCTTGGTTTTCTTCTCTTTACATCTCTCACCAATGGAATAAATGAGACATTATTGCAGCATAAAATTCACTCTATCCCCGTCAAATTAAATGCCACTTGTTTCACAATCTTCAGTTTGTAGTGGGTGGGGGTGGTGGGAGTAGGAGAGGAAAAGTAAGTAGCAAAACTGTGCTGATATTGAAAGGAGAAAAGTACAAGTGCACGCACATAAAGAAAGTAAAGTGTTGGTTGGTGGTGGTGGTGAATTGTCCTGCCATGAGCGTTTTACAGTAGTACAATAATGTATTGCATTACAACATCATTAGGAGAGTCAAAGACGTTTCAAGTTTCTCTTGTGAGTTGCAAATGAGGATAACATAAAATAAGGAAATTGGAGCCTGTCGTTTAAATAAAGTGTAAAACTCTCAAGTTAAGAATAAGACTTTCAGTAAGTGAAAGTAGGTTGTGTTCTCTTCTCTGTTGTCATTCCAGCACTGCCACCACTACGATAACCACCAAAAGTAGACTGTAACAGCCACCATCCTTCTCAAGTTGTTTTGGCAATGAGGGAGAAATTTACTTGAGGACATTGCATTGAGTGAAACTGAGGTTTTCGCCCATCAAGTATCCACTGCGGTGTAATCAAGAATAAGGATTGCATAGAACTAATGACTCTTGTTTTTCCTCCGCCTCGCCTCACCTCCTGCACTCCATTTATGGATATACAGACAGAGAGTTAGGCAAAAAGGGATGTCCATGATTTTTTTTCTGGGGCATAGCTTCATATTGTGAGCTTGACTTTCTTCTTCCTCTTTCTTCTTCTTCCGCAAATTAAGTTTACATTAAAAATCGTTCCTATTCTTGATGGGATCTCGAGGAGCCCAATATTTTCTTTGAGGCTTGGAATAAAAGGAGGAGGATGACGAGGCTGTGCGATGTGTTATTGTTGTACACAACAAGTAGCAAATAAAACCAATTTCTTGACATTCCCAGATGTCCTAGTGGTGGCTTTCTCTTTTTTACGAGTATTATTTTTATGGCATACATACATTCATACACACAGCTGCAGCTCCATATGTGCTACATGCTACATTTATTATGGACAAAGAAAGAAAGGGGACGAATGAAGTGTGTTTCTGCATGCAATGTTTTGAGTTTTGAGTCTCAAGTTTCCACTTATTTGGTCTTTTTAAAATAAATTGATGCAAAGGTTCTGAATTGAAGTTTCAACTATGAAACCTCCAAAAGTTGTCTTTTCTCTATCTTTTTGGCTCTCCGCTCAGGGTTCGGAAAAACCCAGGGTTTTAATCAAAAATTATAAAACCCATGGGTTTTAATGGGTTTTACCATGTTAATTGGGTTTTATTTGGGTTTAAATGGGTTTTATTGGGTTTAAATGGGTTTTATTAGTTTTAAGTAATAACTTAACAAAAATAATTAGGAATTTGTATCTATTCGGACATTATTTTTGTTTTATAACACTTGAAATCTGTGATGCTAAAGGATGGAGTCAATTATTGAATTGTTCCGAATTTTCATATATTAGAATAGTAATGAAATAAACTGCTTTAGAATGAATTGAGATAACGTCTTCTAACGTATAGGAGATGTATTTAACTTTTAGAATGTAGTTTTAAGGTAAAACTCAATTAAAACCCAATAAAACCCATTAAAACCCAAATAAAACCCACTTAACATGGTAAAACCCAGTGGGTTTTATTCATTTACAACCCATTAAAACCCATTAAAACCCAATAAAACCCAACCCATTAAAACCCAGGTCGGAATACCCTGTCTCCGCTGCTCCCATCACTTTCAACTTTTGACTTTGCAGAGAGGGAGAGAGAGAGAGAGTTTGTTGGCAATTTATAAACAAAGTTTTTCTGCTGTTTGATTCCCAGAATGGAAAGACAAAGAAGTCGACAAATGCAGCAGGGTTGGGAGAGATAGAAAAGCCCACTGGTTGGCAACTAACCAGACGGGTTGTGCCCTGTCTCTCACTCATATTTACAAAATGTCCTTGTTAAACAGTTTCAATTTCTGATATCGTGTACAAAGTCGCACAAGAAATGTATATGCTTGTCTTTGTACGTTTGCACAAATCAAGAATTGTGGTTGGTCGCTATACATATAAATCTAGGAGCGTTTAATATGCCTAAAATTTTTGTTGTTTTGTTTGTTTGTTTATTCTTATTTCCTCACTTTCACTTTCCCCATCATGTCACCAAGGGAAAAGTCGTCGTCCTCGTCGTCGTCGTATCACTTCTTCTTCCTTTTGTGTCACACAGTTTTCATTCATTTCCACGAAACTCAAAAGAGGAGTATTTGTTTGTAGTGGGAGTAGGACAGGAAATGAAATGCCGTGTGACACACACACTAACGCGACACACCAAACAAATTGTAAAATGTCTGGTGATTTCTTTGGTTAACTTTAATGGGGATCATCTAAAAGGAAAGTAGTGCAGCAGCAGCAGCAGCAGCCGCGACGTCAGCGTCATGTGCGAATGAATGGGAGCTTTCACTTTTCAGTTATAGAGCAAAAGGTCAGCCAGGTGCATATAGGACGAGAAGTCTCATGGAACAATGTTGTTTTGTGAAAGTTGCACAAGCCGTGTTGGTCCAAGGCAAACTGAGTTTATGCAGAACAAAGAGAATTTCTTCAAAGGTTTGGGAAACAGTAGTTGGGATTTACTTAAACAGAGAGCAGCGAGTATGTCGTCGACTCGTGGAGACGACAAACCCCACCGTGGCGTGGAGGATGAAATATCATATCTACGTATGTATGCTACTGTATACACTTATTCCTCCATACGTAGCGACAAAATGGGTCTAGACAAATAGGTTCATAAAATAGTGGCCTAAATCGTAGTTACAATAAATTACAATTTCGTAACCGCCGATGACTCAGCTTTATGCGATCTATTCACAGGAAGATATTTTTTTTTCTTGCAGTAAATCATGTTTTGGACTTCCTCAAATTCCGAATCTCAATCGTCACCCCCACACACGAGCGAGTCTTCCACGCCCCCGCCATTCATCTCGTCCTTGTTTTTCCTTCTCTTCTCCCCCTCGCGAGGAGGAGGGGGTGGTGGTGGGGACGACAGTGAAACGTCCTCCTCTCGGGGGAAGGGAAACGCCATGACCTCATCAGCCGGTCACCGACCCATGAACAGTAATCACAACAACCACCACCGCAAGGGTCGCAATCATCACCAACATCGTCCCCTGCACCACAGCGGCGGCAACCCCCGAAAGCGCCATAACTCTCGCCCCAGTGAGGATAAGGAGTTGATCACGGTGAGGAGAAGCCCCCGCAGGGGTGCGATGTCTCAATCGGCGGCTACAGACTTTTGGTGTGGAAAGAAGAAAGAGATTGTTGTGGGACTCGTGATAATATCGGTGCTTTCAGTGAGTTTGTATTGGAATAGTTTGGATGGAGATTTTGTCCACGATGATATTGTGAGCATTGTCCGAAATCCGGATGTGCGACCACATTCTGCCTCTGGGTGGTGGACCCTTTGGCTCAATGATTACTGGGGAATGTCAATGTCCAACCAAATGTCTCACAAGAGCTATCGACCCCTCACAGTCCTCTCCTTCAGGTAAGCCAGTTGCATTTTTTTATTACTTATCTTGTAAATTCTTGTCCCCAATCTTCCTTTAAATGAGTGGATTTCACAATCTATAAATCACAGAGTGTGTGTGATATGGCTACAAAACCCATCGAAATGAAGCCCTTAATGGTGTATCCACTTTTTCCGCTATGTGGGCGATATACACGTCGTCGGAGTTGGTGGTGTGGTTGTCGAACGGTCGCTAGCGTGTGATTAGACTCGTGGAAAATTCTTCTCACTTTTTATCATGTCGCACCTGTCTTTCCTTCAAAGGTTCATGATTTTGTGTCTGCTCGTGATTCCTCCTCGCCTCTCCGCTCGCCAGAGTTCCCATGTTTCAAAAAGTTTCTTCCAATTCGCTTAGTTGATGCGGGAGTGGAAGAGATCACGTAATTTTACGTGGAGACTCAAAGTATGTTTCAAAAAAGTGCTCCACCAGCTTTCTTCGTGTCATCCGAAAGAGAGAATATATATCTCGCGTTGTGCTGGCCAGGCACACACAAGCCAGAGCCACCCCATTATTCCCATGCTGAATCTCGTCTTGGCTTCAACTTCAATTCAGCATCTTTCCACTGAAGTTGGCTTGCTTGTGCTCCCTCCGTTCTTGCCTTGAGCAACAGCAAACTACCGCCAGCACTGCTACTACTGTGCCCGTCACTACACGAGAGGAGACCTATTTACTGGAGAAAGCATAGCCAAGACGAAGGCTAGACATCAGCAGCGGTGGTGGTGGTGGTGATGGAAGACAAAGTACAAGGACCAACCAGTTTAATGTTTACTTTGCTGCATTTGTCATCAAAGGAGCTTCATTTATGCAACACTATCCCTATTTACTTGTACTCCGTCCTGCCTGGCTTTCATCTCCTCAGTCACCGCACCGCTGGCCAAGTAAGTATTTTGGCAAGAAACGGTCTCTACCCCCTCCGCATAAATACTTACATCATCGTCTGACTCTCCAAATTAGTCTCAGACATTAACCAGTTCATCACAATGAATTTGCGAACAACGTGTAAACATTGTTTGACAATTCAAATCGAATTGTATGAATGAATTCGAAATGTGTGTCCTTTGTGCGAAGGAGGAAAAATCGGACGGGGAAATGATTTATGCGACGAGATGCATTTACTACTCGTATGAGAATAAATATGAGATTTTCACTTATTCACTTTCACTCATTCGCTTTCACCATTAAGACGAACGTGTGCACATAACTTTCTCCGCCAGGCAATTCAATCCGGCCTGTGGTAATGATGGCAATTTCGATCAAATATTTCGTCCTGATTTGATGGCATGATTTCTTGACCAAACCCAATACTTTCACTCACCGAAACGACCACCAGGCTAGCTGGCCGGATAAGATATAGATGTATACGAATGTATGCAGCTTTTGGCCATATTACGCCCCTGGCTTGCATTCATGTCAAAGAGTTAGTGTAACAACTTTCTCCTTTCTTGCACGGGTTCAAGTCTCCACAGCTCAATAGCCGAAAGGATATGAATGTAGTGGGATGTACTAGAGGAAGGAATGCATAATGCAATATTACACCCAGACGACCGACCGAGAGGGTGAGTTGAGGAGAAGACATTACCGAATGAAGTATGGACAACTCTCTCTCTGGCCGGGTTTAAGAGAAATGGAGAGATTTGCCATGAACTCGTCCATAGTCACCACCATGCACCTTCACTCAACCAGGTTGTTGGTTGGTACATGTAATAATAATTCTAAACCGGGTGTTACCTCGGGCCAAACGGGGATAACGTACAAAATGATCTAATTCCAATATCTGTATACTAAAATATCATCACCACCTCACCCCATTAATTCGTAGGAGCATAATAGTCGTGTCAACATAGATTTGTATGCAGAGTGACGCATGGAAATCTGCATATATGGGTAGCCAAACCACAAAATGAGTGTAGAATCCTCTAAATATATTGCGAAATTGTGGGAGCAGCTCACTCTACCTGGTTCGAGGTACGTACCGAGTGTGTAGCTAGAGGCTAGCTAAGCGTCCATACGACATAAAATTTGAGCTAAAGAAGTGGATTTGGTAAATAGGGTTGGGTGTGATGGTGGGAGGCAGGAGCAGATGCAATGCAAGGAAGAGGAAGTGGGGAGGATGTGGATTGTGTCTTCTACTTGGCCATGATGGTGGTATAGAGAGTATGGTGTAGTGGATAGATTTGTGCCCGTGATGGCAATTGGGATGAAATGTGGCGGTCATTCTGTTATCACATCGGAACAGAAAGCAGCTCCGGGAGCACCGGTGAAAGTCCAATGGATACATTCATACGAATTTCTCCATGTCTCTCAGCCACGACGAGGACCCACTCTTCCCTTCTCTCTCCTACTTCGTACACTGTGCAGCTCTTCATGCACACAATGCCTCACTCACGCCTTCTCCTTTGCCCATATATATTCCATGATCTATATTGCGAGCAACTTAATACTTTGTTGGTCCTGGTCTATATGAGCCAACGAACGAGTTGTAAACCATTGTCAAAAGTTAATGTTAGTGTGGCACTGGTTCAACCCTCGTATCAAAAGTCTGGGTGGACTCGGTCGCAGTCTCTCTCAGAGTGCTGGCTGTCCTGATGCTGGTGTGTCGCTCCTCTCCGCTGGGAGAAAGTCGTCGGGTGACAAAACTACGACACACATGAAAATAACTTTACATGTAGATTAAACTTGAAATTTTTGTGTTTTATGCGAATATATCCTTCAAACTGGGTCTGCATAATAAATCTTCTAGTTCCTTGTACATATTTTGAATGTAAATATGAGGCACTAAAGTATCTGTGAAGGTCTTACTTAGCCGAGATACGAGGCAATTTCTCTTGTCCACGTGTGTACCAGGAAAATTTGGTCCATGCTCGCAGATTCTCAGTCTCTCCTCCTTACTTATTATATTCCTCGTCCGTCTCAATCTAGCAAAACGGGTCTGACCAAACAAGAGGAGGAGGAGAAGCAGCAGGAGACGTTAGCAACAACACGGTCCTGATTTCAGAGGAACGTCATTGATTCTCTGTCTTCCTCCTCCTCGGCGGCAGTGTATGTTTTGGTGTGCGTCGTGTGAGAATTTCATTGCGGTCAGTGCAAGAAAGGAGAACAAGAAGGGCAATCCACCACCACCACCAGTGCTTACTTTGTGCGTCCATTTGCTCCTGAGATAGCCGCAATTTCCAGCCTAACTGCAAATTTACTGCTTTCTGTAAGCCCCTATGGACCCTACCTAGTTTATGCCTTCACTCATTCCTTTCCCGTCCGCCAGCCTGCCATGCGGAGAATAGCAGAGAATGCTACGTAGAGACGGGAGAAAGAGTTTCACAATGGAATGGACAGGGTGAGGGTAATATGCCATGGATTATCTCTGGAGAATGGCATGGAATTTTTAGCACATGAACTATCAACAATGCTGTCCCTTGTAATACACTCACTCTCTCTCTCTCTGTTTCTCCTGTTGTCCCTTATTTTCTGCCCGTTGTGTTTCCATCCTCCTACATTCTCATATCTCGAGCTTCTGGTTGGAGGATGTTTCCTGCTCTGCGTTATACAATACAGCCTAGTTCAGAAATCCCATTTGGAGAGTGAACCAGCGGTGGTCATTCTACGGACAGCGTACGCATTTCTGGCTTGCTTTCCTGAAGGGAAAACCACAAGGAGGGATATATCACCTGCATTATTTATTGCCGTCCTTGCACAAATTAAATGCCTCTTATTTTCCATCGTTTTCACCAGAGTAGTGATTTCGTGTAATTTAACTCACCCGGAGGTAAGTTTGAAAACGAAAGAGTGACGAAAGCCGCGATAAATTTGAAAAATATATTAACGTCAACAGGCTGACCGAGGAGGAGGTAGTGGTGATATTGTTGATGTATAAAAGTACGTTGTTTTCCCTCTCTTCGTGATTATTGTTTAACCGTCGCCTTTCATTTGATGGGAAAGTTTTTTTCTGGAGGGGATGTGCAGCACTGTCCACCCAAAAAGTTGGGTTAACTCGTGTATGCGTTTTTTCCTGCTCTTTGCTTTCTTATGCCGTGGTATTTTTGGCCTTCGAGTTCTAACTTTTTGCTACCATGCAACTACCAGTTGGTTGGTCAACTTGGTGACAGGTTTCTTGTGTCGAGAAGCCGTGTTTTGGGAGTTGGAGTGACACTTGACCGCATGATTGTAATCTGCCGCAAGCTGTAGTATTATGGCGTAAGCTTTATTTTGCTCGTTTCAAGTCGAAGACTAATTTTCTGGTTTGTTTTTTCCACTTCAATATCAGCTGAGGGAGTCTTGTGTCAAAAATGCCAGCATTCCAACTCCACGTTTATCCAAAAGTATTTCATCAGCTCGCCTAATAACAAATGAAAGGACAAGTTAAACATGAAAATGGAGAGGGAAAAAATCCGTAAAGTTGGAGAAAGTCAGTTCACTCAAGTGAAATAAATAAGTAGGTCTACACACTCCATCCAATAATATCATTTACCACGAGGGAGAGAGAGATATGGATCATTTTGCTTGACTTCATTATTTTTTTCTTCCACTCGCAAAAAAAGGAGAAGAATGTGGAGTGGAGAGCGGTCTAGTTGTTTGGAACGGGTTTGAATTATACGGGATGAAGGAATCTTGTATCAAATAATCTCGAAAGCCAGAAAAGAAGGAACAAGTGATGAAAGAATCAAATAAATTGGGAACATGTTTTCAGTTGAATTTTCCACATGTGCCAAAAAGTATATATCATATTTCAAAGTATAAAAGAGAGAATGGTAAATGCATGCAAATTATGTTTTGATACAATTCCATGAGCCACTCTCGTATGTATGCACAGTATTTGTTCCCATTCGCAAATTCCAGTGCAATTTCTCCATTCATTGACATATCCTATTTTGCAGACGGACGGCTTTCATTCTTACGCGAAATGCTGGAATATTTGGCTTTCATATCAGTATTCAGTAGTTAAAATATTAAAGAGAAAGATTAATTTTCCCCTTTTGACATTTATGCAATTACGCCAAAGGCCAATTTGTAAAATTTGTTCCTGAATAAAATGAAATCAATGACCGGCAACAACCTGCCATAAAATTAAGCTTCAAACTTATCACATACATGACAGGAGCGGAGGGAGGAGGGCTGCCGGGGAAGACTGAATTGTCGTAGTCGGAGCAGAGTATAATAATTGAAGAAAGGGCCATCAGCCATAATTACGTGCCATTAATGCAAACGACAATTTTTTTTGCCGGTTGGAAGAAAGGTGTATGAATGAAAAATGGGGCGACGATTGGCAGAATGGAACCGGAAAAAGTCATTCGCGCTGCATAAACCTCGTCAACTCGCTCTCCCATCGACATTTCACTCAAGGAACATAATCATTTATTATTGAGCAGCAGCACGACACAGTATGAGTACCAGGCCTGGTACTTTCCCTCATTGTGGCATAGACTTGGCTGTAACATAACTCTTTTATAAATATAATTTTGCCAGAGGAGGACTAATTCCGACGACGGTGTAGCTCATATTTATACCTTACACAGAGCTTCGCATATGCATAAATATGTTGATAAGTGTATGTATACGTATGCATATTACATGTGCATGTACATATTTAGCACCACCAATGAAGCCAGTAACGTGGGCTATGTGACATCAGGCAGGACTGAAACTGTTACGTAGTCCAAAGAGATGGAATGTGTGTGCCTTATGTGCTCACCCATAAAAATGGAGAAGGGCGATGGATGTATTAATTTTGTGCCTTGGCCTCCCTGACTGACACAGCTTAAGCCATTAAAAGTTACGGCAAAATTGCCGGAGGAAATCAGCACTCTTTCACTCTGTAATTTGGAATGTTCCAGGATGGGAAGTATGTAGTGGGTAGCGAGGGGAAAGGAATGGCAAGGAGGACAATTACGCATTTCGGAATTTCACTTGGCTTGCGAATACTTACCAACTCGCATTATTACTCGCCATACAAATACTTGTAAGGAGGACGACGACGACGACGACGACGAGAGTACGTACAATGGCATTCGTTCGTTCGTTCTGAAAGTATTTATAGGGGAAACATATGGTTTGTTGAAATCGTGGTAGGTTCGTGGGTGCAAAATTTTTTGACTTTTTCCAGCTCATATCTGGATAATACTGCTGCTGCTGGTGCTAGCTGCTCCATTTCTCTGATGACATTTTTTCCAATAAAAAATGTTGGTTATCATAAATACAACAAACAACATATCCCACTTGAGTTGCTCCTTGGGTTGACAGGTTGACAATGGTTGAACGGTTGCAGACATCCTTGTTGTTGTTGGGCTGGCTTGGGAAGTAGTGGTGGTGAAAGTGTGAGGGCTTCACGGTTTTGGTGCGGTTTGTGTCTTTTGGTGTTTAAAACTTTCTCCTTCAACCAACTCGAACCTTTTACTTCGTTTGAGTTGATTGTGTTCCATTCACGTCGGAATCGTGGAGCAGTAACCAACCACCACTAATTCTAAAATGAGCATCAACTAAATCGACTCGAGTTGTAGAGTGCGAGACGGAATTTTCAAATAATCCAAATTCCTCTCTAATTCAAGGCCTGTGGTGAAGGTTTTTTTTCAGTGGTACATTCGAAGTAGCGTGGTGGCAGTAGTTAGCGCTGACTAGTTGTTGTTGATGGCTATAGGTAGACATACATATTACTGGTAGATTAGTAGATAGGGGATCTTCTTGGCTTGGTGTGGCCTCCTCTTTTCGTGGGCTGGGTAGTTGACTCCGGGGACAAAGGGTTCTGTCACCCCCAGAAATATTTGATGTTTTATTGTTGGCCTTATTTTTTATTTGCACACTTTTCCTCATCCATTTTCCCAAGCGAGAAGTAAATAAAAGCTGGTCAATAACAAAGAAACCAATGGATGAAATTTGTGGTAGCCTTCTTAACCATCCATCCAACCCAACACGAGAATAGAAGCGGTCGTATTCTGCTCCTTTCTGCCAAAATATCCCGAGGAGTTCTTGTTTAGCGAGTTTAGTGAGGAATATTCCAACGTGTCCCAACTTTAAGAGTAATTTCCTACGCACTATGGGGCTCTTTTCCTACAGCCTTCCTCACCACCACTATTTCAGTGATAACGTTAAAGCGGTATTACGGTCCGACGTTTGTTAACTGCTTGCTACGTGGTGGTAGTTGGTGGTGATTGCAATTGTCGCCACAAAGTTTCACTACTAACTTCTGTTCTGTTTGCTCTTCTGGTAAGCAAGGTCTGTTGGTTGGGTGAAAAAGTTGTAAAAAAATGAGTGGAAAAGGCTGTCGCTCCCGTTGGTGGTTGAGAGTTACGATTGTTTTATCTTGTATTGTCTCCCTTCCCTCTCCTTCCTTCGGCCTTTCTTCTCTGATGCATGGGCTCTATAGCGTCCATCCGTCGAGCGTATATATAGGCGCTGGACGGCTAAAAGTGTTTGGTGAGCAAATGGCTGTACTACAGATTTTTACTGCTTCTTAGATCATCCCACAGATTTGATTCCTGCACACATTTTACTTTCCCCACTGCCACTATTCCTCATCATCATCTCTTGTTCGATTTCCCTTCGGAGAGAGATAGAGTGACCGACGGGTGGTGGTGAAAGTGGTCCAAGCAAATCACTGCTTTTATTATTCCTGCACTCAAACTATACGATTATGTCAATGATGGCCCTCGCCCTGCTATACCCCCGCTACGTATGTACGTACGTATATATTGGCGAGAGAAAGTAGCGGTTGTTGCTGATTCCTTCTTCCTCCTGGTCCGTGGCAAATGCTCGTCTTCAACCTGGGCATTTTCCTGCTTGCTAAATATCTCGAGGCCATGCAACTTTATCATTTTGTCCTTGTCACAAAATTTTTGCCCCTTTGGAGCCTTAGGACGTAATATAATGTGCCATCTTCTCTGAGGAATAACTGCGTATGAGTTGGCCTAATTCTTGTCCTGGTCGTCATGATAAAAGTAGTAAATAGCGTCACACAGCAGACATCAATTCGTCCGTTTTGGTTTATGAGCATTGTTTCCAAATATCGTTGACATTTTGACCGTTTTACTTTTACGACTGCGTTGCTCACTGGTTGGTGGAAGTTAATCCCTTCATTTCACTGCTATTTTGTCCGTCTCTCGCTCCTCATGTATTATATGCAGCAAGAAAGATTATACTTTCATCTTTCTTTCCTCGTGGACGGTGGGCTTGATGTATGATGATGCGATGCGGATAAATCCAAGAGACTGCAATGTAAAAGAATAAATGAGTATTTGTGACAGGTCGGGGGACATATTGCAATAGATTACATTTTGCACTGCACATGGCCTCTGTGTGGGAATACGTACGTACGTAGTCTGCCCTCGTCCCAGTTTCCTTGCTGGGTGGGTGGACCAAGACAAACAATTTTAGAACAATCGCCAATGAGTTAGGATGCTCTGGAGACGGGGGCATAAAGGGCATTTAAGTTAAATGGACGTGAGATGGAATGTGGTTGGGTTTTATTGTCCCCTTTTTCAATCCCAGAGTGAGTAATTTAATTGATGTGGATGTGTTTTGTTGTGTATTCTTCCCACTAAGCCATTTGTGACTCAGCTTTTCTCATTTTTGTGCGTTCGCAGGATAAACTACTGGATGGCTGGAGGATTGTCAGCGATAGTGTTCCACGCCACAAATGTCGTAAGTATTAATTTATGATGCTTACTTTTTAGTTGTACATGATACCAAATATGCATCATCTATGTATTACTTTAATTTGTGTACAAACAGGAAATGCGTAAAGCTCGACATGTGACCTATTTACATACGTATCTGTTTAATCATCTTGTTCTAAACTGGAATGTATGCCACATATTCATCCCTGGTTTAGTGATTTTTGTGATTTTTGTGACATTTCATGCTATAATTTTGAAATGGAAGATTTTTTCCTATTTAGAAATTGAAAATCAATTTTACTGATTAGTATGCATTTGAGTTCCCAAAGTCGAATTCCGAATTAAGTTCAATTCGGTCGTGTGGAAAGTGCACATTTAAGAAAATATGTCGGATTATCCTGTTAGGGATTTTTTTTGCGTTGTCACATTGTGCCAAGTCAAGCTAAATTTTACTCGGTCGTATTTACAGATGATTCATGTCGCGGTCTGCATCCTCATCTTCTGCGTCTCCTTCCAAATCCTCAGAATGAGTGTTGTCACCTCGTTCACCGCAAGTGCTATTTTCGCCGTGCACCCTGTCCACACCGAGGCCGTAAGTTCTATTTAGTTGCTACTTTCTTCCTCCTCATTACTCTTGCTGCCCACATTTCCATCCACCACAAACCACAAAATCGGGACTCATCACCGTTATTTATTACCATGTATTCCTCTGCAACCATGTCTTGTATAACAAAAAACCTAATAATTTAATGAGAGAGAAGAAGATTACACTCAATTATTAGCAATCCACGACCAGCAGAAGATGCCAAGTATGCATTAGCATATGTACATAGCTCCCATCAATAAATAACGGATCAGTCAAACCACACACATAAATATTATTAAGAAATGTGCACTCATCAATGCAGAGCGACCCGAACAATGCGTTGTGGAAGCCGAATTAAGGACGGATAAGAATTAATGAGCTTGGAGGATGGAACTGAGAAGAAAAAAGAACAAAGATATGGACAAATTACATATATTTCATTCCGCAAAGGAAGAAAAAACCCGAAGCCATGGGAAAAAAGTGAGCGCATTCATTTACTCAAGAATGCTCTAAATATTAACTAATTATCATTTGGCTTCACTCTCGGTCATTTGCTGCCGACAGAGAGCATAAAGAAGAAACACCCGTCGGTCGTATATACATATATTAGAATCCGACCAACAATCCGGGCATTACACACACACAAGTCTACACCACGGAACCGAAGGAAGAGGAGCGCAACTTACTCCTCCACTTATACTTTCCAACCACATTATCATTCCACTCGTCGTCCCTAATTTATTTGGAATGCTGCTTAATTCCACTTATTACCATGCATTCCTCATATCATCAACTAGTCGGGTTTAAAAATAGTGTCCATGACTAATAGCACAGCCTAACGAGCCGGGCCATATACCAGAGAGGGCACAATCTTTCATCAAGAATGTCATGCTGTAGATGGGTTAATTTTGTCAACACGGCTGGCAGGAAATTAAGACATTTCTGGACAGTGTTCCCCCAAAATGCTGGCTCGCAGTGCGTGTTTGCATGCTGTATTATACGGAATGAGAAATGAATTAACAAATTTGGAAATGCAGCTCTCTCAAGCAATTCGTGAGTACAATCCGTTTTAGAATGTTTTTCCATTCTCTCTTTTATCCACGGTGGCGGTGCAAATATGCAAATATCATTTTGCAGTTCTTGTCCGTAAGCTAACGATCATGTCAGTGTAATGATAAGCGATAGACAGAGCCAGGGAATGGATGGGGATGATGATTCCATCACTTGAGCAACTTTGATGGCCTTAAAGTATGTTTATAATAATCTCCATTATGGATGACGTTGGCCTACCCTTTTTCTCTTATGGCATGTCGGAAGCTATTACCGTTATGATTGTTATTTTCATTGTGTAAGCCTCTTATACATCAGTAGTCGTTGGTTGGATGTATATTTCTTCTTCCTGCGTAATAATAATGCCCAAGTCTTCTTCCCTCTTCTGCTGGATTGCATTAAATTTGCTTTCACTCCCTGGTAGCGACTACGAAGGAGATCAAATGTGTCGTCCAAGCAGGGAAGCATGCAACCACGAAATCCGTTTCGTCATACCTCATTTTCAAAACTACGGAACCTTATCGGCATGCCAAGACTCTGTAAAAGTGGAGATCTACATAAGATAAAAAAGAACAGAGTACATATGTCGTCTTCATCCAATATACCACGATATGTAATGAAGTCTCAATTAAAACCATATGCAAATTTGTGATTATGAAGTCATTTTACAGATTACCAAAGTTGACAAGGACTAACAACAAAATACGAAGAAAGTTTTTTTTTACATATGCAAATCCCCCATTTTTATAAATTTCATCGCCATCAAGAAACAGTTTCTTCACGACTTGCTTCAACTCTTCGACTCGACTCAATCCACTCTCACGGAATTTGTTCCAACAGCAGGGATGGAGCGAATAAGAGCGGAAAAAGCAATTGATCATGATTAAAGTCAGTCATAACCCAATCCAAGCATTGGAGAGAAAGTATGTTGCTGCTGTCGAAATACAAAACATTCACCCTTTTCAGCCTCAATTTATCAGACGACTACATACATATTACTACATACAGTGCGGCATAATAGGATATCGATTTGTCTCACATGTGGCGATATGTCATTTGAGGAGAACGTTGCAAAAAAAATCGTACATATCGCAAGGAAAACTCCAACTGGTGGAAAGTTAAGGAGGAGAAGAAGAAAAATCCCGTCCAAGTAGATGAAAGTTGATTAAAGGAATTAGAGAAGGACGTCAAAAGAAGTCTGGCTGTTTGTCGCTGTCTCGTGCACTTTGTCATCTGGCGTGCTGCACGGGTAAGTATGTTGGAAGCCGTAGCCAATAAATGGAGATGAGAACCGTGTGACATGACGTGCCCAAGCGAGTGATGATTATCCACAATCATGGGTGTCCGCTGTCTACTCTTCCTCCATACTCAACATGCCTCCTTGATTGGAGAGAAGAAGACTATTTATTTCATTTACTTTATTGATCCCTTCTCACGCAAAGTTTTAAAATGAGTAAGCCCTTGAGCCGAATGTGAAATCCGCTTTCTCCGCTTGAGCACCAGACCCACTCAGAATCAGGACCAAGTCTCACCAGTTTCATTGGCTTCAAATTTTGGCAGCCGACCAGTTGGACTTATCCACTCCCCCGCTCGCTGGGCAAGGTACATATAGCGATGTGGTCGGAAACCTATAAAAAAATCGAATGCAGATACCAAACTTGATGCTCCGTTTAAAATGAAAATTTCCGATGAGCTTCAAAGTTCCACGTGTTAAAAGTTACGCAACTTTGGTACAAAATATATTTAACAAGTCCCCACTTTTGTCCTCCTCGCCTTGATTGATCATAGATGGATAGGCATTTAGTTGCCCTGTATGTATGTATGCATATAAAGTTGTGCTGGGTGGTGGTGGTGTCCTGGCGGCTGTGGTGTAATGTGGTTGTTCAGCTTCTCATTTGTTCTCGAGCAAAGTGTAATCATGCAAATTAATGGATAATAATGTTGCAGGTTGCCGGGATCACTGGGAGATCCGATGCATTGGCATGCCTCCTCATGCTCGCTTCCTTCCTTCTGTATTCAAAGTAAGTCCCCTCCAAATTATATCGTCGTCGTCTTGCACAAGGCGGAAATGGCAACGCAGCTACTTGCACAGCGTCTGCCTGCCATGTCTTGTGTGTGTATGTACATGGTTGTATGTACGTATCTTTTATATAGCATCTCCTCATTTGAGGAGGACTGACTTTTACTTCATCCTTCCTTATCTACGTGTGCATATGACTTGGCAATTTCTTAATGGCCCATAATTCCTTAATAAAGAGGGAACAGAAAGAGTCTGGTAGTTGTTCACGAAATATTGTAAGGAGCCGCGAGACCTACCAAAAAAATGCCTTTTGATTTTTCATAAAAAGAATCAATAGCATAGTAATGGCATCTCAAAGAAGGGTTATCATTATGGCGGTATGCAGTATTGCAGTATTAAGCAAGCACATGGTCGTGGTGCTAGGGTTGGAGGAAGATAGCAGTACAAAATACCCCAAAATGGGCGAATCAACAATGCTTAGCGGTACGGAAAGGCATGAATGAATGAACAAAGATCATTATTTCCCTAATCAGCATTAACACTCGTCTTGTGCTCCTCCTGCTTAATGCATGAGTTGCTCGTGGTGATTATCTTCATCTCATCAGGCCTGGGCTGGTTGGTTCATGGCTGGAAATTTGGTTACCTATTTCATCCATCCCACCCATGTCAGCAGTTAGTCGGAAGTGCGTACGTACCCCTTTCCCGTGGTGTATGTATATCTAGCTAGCTGTTAATTGAATAAATGTTTTGCTTAAACATCTCCACGCGTTTTTTTCCATACTAATGGCAATGCATACGGATCCACCACAATGCGGAGGATACGATATCAGCCGACATGGTTAGCAGAGGAGGAGGAGGAGGAATGATTGTTGGCTTGATTTCGCTTTCTTCCTGCGTAATCATCATGTCGTCCTTTTCCCTGAACACGCGGGGACTGCTGCTGTTGAGTGCAACGGAGCTTTACCGGCCTCATTCCGAAGGAACATTTCCTGAACTTACTTCCATAGTTCCGGTGCAAGGCGCACTACCGGGTCGGGTCGTCGGCTCCATATCTCCATGCTGCTGGATGGTCTGTTGGTTAGTAGTGACTGCAGAGTCAATCTAAAATCCTGACAATGATACAGATTCCTTTTTCATCCTGCTCTTGTACACTTTTCAGGAGGAGGACAAGGGAAGAATAGAAATGGAAAAGTAGTCTGACTTAAGTGAGTTAAAGACAGATGCGGATCTTGTGTGAGGAGGGAAGAGAAAGGAATAAAAGTGGGAACATGTATAGATCTCAGTCACTACTTTGTCGTCGTCGTCGTCGTCGTACGAGGGACATATTCTCGAAAAAACAGATCCAATTGGGGTTTCATGTTTTTTTTCAGTTTGAATACGTTTACAGTTCCTCTCCAATGGAAATGATTGCATGTGCGAGAGCTAAGCGGAGAGGAGAAAGGTGTTTTGCAGGAGCAGTTTGTTACTCATAGCCATCGTATCACCCTTTCTCACTTTATCCTTGGTTGGCTGGGTTGGGTATTGTGTGTCAGCACTAAATTACGGAAGAGATTGTTTGTGTATGGACGAAGGGACTGGGAAAGAGAGAAAGTGGGACAGGGCAACCAGAGAGAGAGAGAGAGTCGAGATAAACGACATTGGAATGGATAGAGGAGCTCAACGCTGAGGTAATGGAAAATGTGCATATCCGTCCGTTATGTAATGCACTACTGTATGAATATGTAATCTCGGCCGGATACTGGATTATGTTCCGTGTATACGTCTGTACAGGACAGAGTCGCTCTCTCTTTGACTGTCTTATTCCCTCTCGCTCCTCGTGGCTTGGTGGATCTTCATCCTCCTGCACATTCTCCTCGCCTAAATTTATTCAGGGTCTGTCTGACCAATCTAGGCTAAGTAAGCGATCCGTTAAATGACCGAGGGAAGGAAGGAGGAAAGAATGGAGAGATGTATATTGTGCCATTTACTTCTTTTTTTTTTACTACTCTTCTCCTTCTGACATGCATGCACATGTAGTATTGAGCGTATCGTCATCATTCCTCTCTCCCTGAACATTCACTGCTTGAGTTGACTCACTCCTTTTAATTCCGTTCAATCAGGATAACGAAAACTTTGGGAGGGTATAAATTTGACTGTTCTCTCTCTCTCTCTTTACATGCCAAGGGAAAGTCTGCCGTGGTGGGTAGGTAGACTCTAATCGTGGATAAGTGGAGTAAGTTCAACCATCCTGGTGTCTTTATACCGAATATATGGGAATACCCATTGGGATGGTTAGTTTATGCATGGGGTGCGAGTTACGGGTATAGATTGAGAGTCGTGAGTGCACTTGAGCCACAACTCTTGAGCATTGTTGCTTGATATTTCCGTGTTCTTTTTTTTTGTGGTGGGATAAAAAAACTAGAGAAGCCATACGGGTTCAAAGCCATACGCACCAATGCACGGTGTTCTACGTATGAAGGTAAGGGGGAGAAATACCTATGCAAATTTATGCGTGTGATTTGCTTTAACATCTTAAAACCCTAAAGCACCCTCATAAATAGATAGGCGTGAATCAGCCCAGATTTTTGACGAAAACCTGTACGAAGCTCTTCTCAATGATGAAATACGACGACGACGCGGACGATTAATGATAAAAAACAATTTGGTAATGAAACTTTTTTCTCTGAAAATTCCAGGTCCCTAATCCCCCATTGTCGTCAGAGGAGGGTGGCTTCTTCGTCACATGGCGGGGAGTACAGTGTGATTGTCTCGGATTCTGAAGAGTCCTCAACCGACTCGCTCTCATCCACCTCATCAGCAGCCAACAATAAGATTACGGGAGAACGTGGACGTGGCAGCTCTGTGGCGCAGTACGGGTTGAATCCTGGCATTATTGCGTCCGGGCTTTGTGGATGCACCGCCATGTTGGCAAAAGAGACTGGGATCACCGTCATGGGAATTAATATTTTGTACGACCTTTACATCCACATGAGCGCTGTTAAACGGTGAGTGAATATGCACAATCCTAAATATTCTACCCCCGTCCATACACAAACACGGCCACCACTATAGGAACACGGAACATCAAACTATTGTACTCTGCCTCCTGTTCTTCTTCATTACTTATTAATTCCCCCGAAATCAGGAGATGGGGAGAAGGCAAGCGGCTGCCGCACTACATGCCCACCCACCCACTCACCCAGAGTCCACCTTCATTACGAATTAACAAAGACTACGAGGACGACGGACATGTTTGTACGCTTTCACTTCCATCGACTTACTTTTACTCTGCCAACAAAGTCCGCCATGTGGCAAAGGAGACATCAGAAATTGTCTTGGAGAGAGAGAGAGAATTTATCCGCAGCTTCTAAAATAGTTGTCTCTCTAATTTAGTAAACTTTGCCAGTTGAGATTTTAGCAATACGTAGTTATACCCATCCATAGTCGTGGTCGGTTGTTGCCTTCGCCATTTTCTATCCAACTCTGCAAGAATACGACCAAGAACAAAGTCCGACTTTCTGTGGTTCGATTCCGCACCAAAGTTTGGCCTCTGCACCTGACACACCTGTCAAGCACGGATGGGGAAGCTTTTTCATTTATTCAATGTTGTGTAATTAAGCCAACCAACCAGCATTAGTGGCAGGGGGTGGATATGGATGGATGGCAGTTGATGTGAACTGCGGTTAAGTGAGGTCTTCCCTTCATACATTTCTCAAAGTACGTACATGAGGAATCCACCAGTCCGCCAATCCAGGTTGGAATGTACGCTAAGAAAACACGGGCGGAATTTCCCACCTCTTGCAGTTATCAATTATGACACGAGTAGTGTTTGTCAGCCATGACTTTATCAATGGGAGAAGCATATCACGTGGAAAATATTGGTATTGAATATTCACCTGATTTTTAATGGCTTGGTGTCAGCCATACATTCATGATTTCAACTTTGACAGCGTATAAATAATGCCGCTTATTTAGGATGGCAAAGCAGAAGAAGATAGTTAAAAGTGCCGTCACTGCCATTTGAGACGTATCTACCCTAACGCTGTTCTTCTATATCTATGAAGTTGTTTGGTATTTAAGTGCTTCTGCTCCTGCTGCTGGTTGTCTACGGGTTGGCCTAGTTTCATTGAACTTATCCACTTTTTTGGAGAAAGGAGTGAAATATTTAACCAGCCAGTTCTCCGACCCATTTACAGAGGAGCCAGGTAGCAACCTTAAACAATATAATTGGTGAGTGAATGAGAGAGTGAGGCTTCTTGCTTGACAGAAAGACAATGGAAAACAATTCTGCCTTCGTCATTGGTGGTGGAAGTCTCTAATTTAATATTAAAGTGATAGGTGATGCGTGTGACTTGCTGCTGTGGACTTACTTTTGTTGACTGTCTCCGCACACACATGGAGAAACTACACTCTTTTCCTCTCACTCTGCAGTCAAGTTAATGATGGTTTGGTAAAAGTAAACCTCCAAACTTTTGTCAAACTCTCCTAATTTTTCTTCTTCAATTTCCGCCACTTCTTTCTCTCGTCTTCGTATGTACACTGCTGCGGCTGCCTTCACTCCTTATTACTCAATCCATTATGTCCCATGCTCCACCACTATCCTGCTGCTGCTGGATATATGTCGTGGGTGGTGGGAAAAAGCGAGCGAGGAGACCGCGAGGCGACATGCCAATGGAGAAAGGCTGTCTTAAGCAAAGTCACCATCTACCACGACCACACCACCAACGACAAGATCTCACTGAGGTGACGGAACGAGAACTTTTCTCGGAAATCAATTTTATTTGCACTCCGATTATGCTGTTATGCAATCAGCAATTCTGCGTATCTAACTGCATATACCGTAACAAACGATATCATGCCAAGTTATACAAGTCGTATAATCAATACTTTTAGCAATCTTGGATAACGATCAGAGACAAAAATAATAAAAATGATAAAATTGCAATTTCGTGAGCTGTTGATTGAATTTAGGGATGGAACGACGATGTGTTTTTGGGGGAGGCTTCCCTCCTCACCGTTACGAAACAAAGGACATGCTGGCTACTACCCAATCTCGTCCGCCAGGGTTTGACCCTTCCCTCTCTCCATTCATGGTCGTCTGTGTGCACAATATTTCAAGTTCATGTCTGGTAGCAGTAATACGTCAATTTCCAATTGGTTCCAATTCCACGCCATATACTGCTAACTTTGGCCGGGAATCTAATAATTTCTTTCTCCACTTGTTACAACGAGGAAACGCAGCGCAGTCACACGACTGCCTAATTCACTTTCACATCACTTTCTTCCTCACTCGACGTTTGCTGTCAATGCATCGAGTGTGTGTGTGTGTGCACAATGTACTTCTGGTGGGTGGTGGAAGGAGCAAACTTTTCTCAGACTTTGATGACCTTGTCCTGGACGGAACGAGAGAAAGTGTGATGGGCTGGGCAAAGTTAAACATTATTGTTACGTATATCTGTCCGCATAACTACCCACTACATACACAGCTCACTTACGAAACATGGTTTCTAAGTAAGAAAAAAAGAGCCTATAACTGCGACTACCTTCATCTGCGACGCATCAATTTTTGTGCATCCTTCGTCCTTGTCCTCGTCGTTTCTCCTCATCCTCCTTTCTCGACATCCCCGGTCGAAGGGAGGTTGTTAAAGTGAGGGACGGAGACCAAGAAAATATTTACTTGGTGAATTGCATGGCCAGTTGTTTGTAGGAGAGAGAGAGAGGAGAAGGAAGCAGGGCTGGATACAAGGGCAGGGCAGCAGTAATGCAATGCGGGTGAGTTGAAGCCTTGTTGACATGAAAGGAAAAGAGAGCACAATTGAATTCCCTGTGGACAAGTAAACTTAAAAGTGGAGGAAATAGGGGCTTCTTTTCCTAAAGCTGAAGACGAAACAAGTTTGGTTTTGTATATTCCATTCCATTCTCTCTCTCGGTACATTCCATCCATCCATCCTGAATCCACTGCTACTACGTAGGGACGGAGTGTAAGTAAAAGCTCGCTACCTTGTTCCCATCCTCTTCCCACACCACAACAGTGCCCACTACTACTCGCCTAATGCATCTCTCATCGCATTGACATCAAGAACCCACCCATTCATCAGACAACATTCAAAAAGCAAACCAAACCAGAGCTAAATGTGCTCAAGGCACTACAATAAAGTTCTTCCCAAGAACTCTCCACGTATCCCGTGCTCTTGCCTAACTGGGCATATGTACAGAAGTAAGTATACTTGGTCACGTGGACGTATAATGGCACGTATATCTGGATGGGAACGAGGAGAGAATAAGAATTTCCCTGTTCACACACAATGTAACAAGTTCAGTTGCTTCTTATTATTGGTTTTTGGTCGGTGGAGAAAGTGGAAAACATGTAGAAATCAACCAAAATGCGAGTGGGAGATGAGATGGAAAGGTTGTGAAGGGACGAAATGTGTGATTATGTACCGTGCAGTTACGTATCTACGTATTCATTTCCTTCTTCCGCTGAGAGAGAACTCATTCTCAAAGAAAACATTGTCCTACCACGTCTTATTTAATATTAAAATTGTTTCATTCAAATAGAAATATAATTAGACCAGGGTTTGAGTTACATACACATAATCTCACAGTGAAAGTACAATCTCCTAAAAAAACCGAATCTCGACCTATGGGCGGGATAACAACGGGCGAATGCGATGGTTAAAACAACGTCGTCACATACGTTTTTTTGGACCGATCAGAGACTGCATTGGATTGACAACATGACTGTTCTGTTGTGGTGGTTGTGCACAACAGTGGTCTGACTTGGCGAATTTCTTTGGAAAGATATGTTACTACCAGCGTATTCCTTCCGACCAAGTATTGTGTGTATCCACTGATACCGTTTCTACAGGATGGTTGCATCATTGGCCTGGCTTGTTGGTTGGGCAGGAGGAGTGGAAGTAGTGCGGGTTGATACTGCTGCTGCTGCAATGGAAATGCTTTCACTTGTCGATTCCCTCGAGAGGAGAATAGGCCTCGAAGAAGTGGATACAAAGAAAGAAAAAGTGCGGAGGGAGTGGTGGTTCGTAGGTTCGTGATGGTGGTGGGACGGATGGATACTGCCTTTGAATGGGCTACATAATGGTTATAGACATCGGTACAATCTCGTCGTAGGTATAGCCATTTGTACTCTTATTTCTCATTTTCTATTTGCTCTCTCTCTCTCTCTCCTTCCCTCAAGGTAGATTGGAAGAGAAACGAGTTGGAGGAAACAGGTTTTAAATGTTTGAAGCTCTTGATTCCAAGGAATTTATTTTTCCTTTCTCCGTGTGTGCACTTCGCATTTGCCACGGTCTCGACCCCGACAACCTCGAGGTGGTTGGTTGGGTGGTTGACTGTGATGTTGTCAAAGGTTGGCATAAACAATTGAATTTGTTCACATTGGTTTGTTTTGACTTGTCTCCTCTGAAGGACAACCAACCAGCTCGACTTGTGCGAGAGTGGTAGAGGCGAGATAACGGATTTCCCCTCGCAATAACTGGCTTGAGCATTGTGTAAAAAAGTAATTATTTCAACCCAGTCTACCCAAACCAATGTGTGTGTCTGCATGTGTGTGTTTTTGTTGGAAAAAACTTATGTAAACTGGCAGTCTATTTTCCAAGATTGAATTCCAGTTTAATCCAATAGAGCAATTGTGAGCACTCTTGTATTGAGTGTCATCTCATGTCATGTGCATTTTGTACGGTCGCAAAAAACCCACACAACGCGAAGAAGGTGTATGTTGATGACTTTGATGATTTTCTATGAGTGGACGTGGAATATCTACGTTCGCGAGTTGGAATCATGTCATCCAAGTCTGAATGTCATCTAAGGAAACACTTAACTTTTTGTCTTTTTCCATTTCCTCAATGTTTGTGTGTGTGTCTAAGAGTACATACATTGACGACGCTGTGTTCGTAGTGGTGGCTTTCTCGCAGAGTGATGTGGGGGAAGAACAAGAGTGGATTGTTTGTATGTATGGGCAACGTAATCCAATACAAGTTAACGAGTTCTTTATTTTTTTCTAGGTGGTTGGTCACCAAAGCGGAGGACCATTCCCAATCCATGTTGCGACGGAGGGTGAGCTTCATGATGGTCTTGGTAAGTTTTACTATGCTTCTTCCCGTCCGTCCCGAACATGGGTTTATGACGACAAGTCACTTTCTCTTATTGTCAAGGAGGTCTCTTAACTCACCTTGTCTGAGCAAGCAATTATTGACCCACCGGGTTTTCAAATTGACCCATCCCGTCCAATGTCTCTATTGTATTCGTCCTCCTACGTAAATAGTTTTCCCTTGTACACATTTCAAGATATCTACGTACGCATCTCTGTACATATATACTTATATATATACACATCTGCGTATGTGTGTAGCTTGCTGTAGCAATTAGTCAGTACAATTTTTTTGAGAAAGTTGTACGTATTCCTTCTCCGTGTACGTATGTACGTGTTGTGTGACACAAAAGTGAGACAAATTGTGTAGAATAATCTGTACACAATTTGTGTGTGCGGTGTGTGTGTAATGTGCTGTGGTGGTGGCCGTGGTCCTGGTTGTATCGCATGTTTCGACCAACCCAATAAAAGCTTGGTTACTTTCTCCGTGTGTCCTGACTCGGCTACCTGCTCATTCACCTCTCCATTGTAATAACTTACTTTCCCCCACCACTTCCCTTCCCTTTTTACTTCCCGGTGCAGTTACGAGTTGCAGAACAGAATAAAATTGGATTGGTTTCCTGTAGATTCCCTTTATTGCTTGGATTAATTTTTTATTCTGCTCAAAAGATTGTTCTCCGTGTCGATCTTGCCCGTTTTGTCTGTTGGACTGTAATTTCTCCAGAATTTCTGACAAAGTCTTCGTCTCCCTAATCTCCTCCTCCTCCTCCTCTCCTTGGCCTGGTTGACTGCTGGATGCCGGCTCTCCATTTATATTTACAAGTTGCTTGTGTATGTGTGTGTGTGGATGTATGTGTGCTAGACAGACGACGACCAGAATCGTTCGTGTCTTTCTTGATGGCAACGCAATGTAATTTCGTCTTCTGAAAGTTAATAGTTTTCAAATTAAGGGGGTGGCGTGGTGGGTGGGTGGGTAGCCACTAGCCAGGTAGCTGATATTGCAAGGTTGTTGAAGAAGGACAACTGCATAGAAAGAGAGAGAGGCCGCTCTTTCCTTCCTGCTTCTTCCTCCTCCTTGTATGTTGATTCCTCCAAAAGCTGGATAAAGTTATGCACATCACGATTTCACCATTTTAAAATTCTAAACAATTCCATGCCCTTTCAACATTCCAAATTTCCAAAGTTTTAGATTACATTGAGTTTGTAAAAGTGAGTGATACTCTTTGCGTATATATTTCGTGACTAGACATTTTTCACCAGCACATTTCCTTCCACATTAACCGCAACACAGGAGGAAGGAAGGAAAAATAACAAGGAAAAAACTTGCCAGGAGCAATCAGTCGCGATTTAGGCAGCGTTACTTCCAAGTGCACGGAATTTCGGATATTTTCTCCCTTTTCGGTGCAACAGTAGTGTCATTGATGTCCTATCCAGCAGGGTATTAATGTCTGGAGCTTAATGTCACTCATGAATGAAGAAGCAACTCGGTGCAGGTCTGGAAGTTATAGGGCCAATAATAATCAAGGGAAATCACCTTGGATGAAAAAAAGAAGCTTACACTTTTTGGTAGGCGCAATACAGAATATTAGGAAATTTGCATGATGCATTACACAGAATATTTTATACGCAATATCATCAGAAAGAAAGTGGAAAGTGAGATGATGATGAGTAGAAAGGAAGCATGACAATACAAATTTGTCAGTAGTTGCAGTTTTTTTTATAGCGTACGCAGTTTGTATGAAATTGGAACTGTACACACGTTCACCTTGTCGTAGGTATTTTTTGGCTGGTGGTGTGAAAGGAAATTATTTGTGAATAAAGAAACGCACCGAGACCCAGAAGGCAATCTGTCACTCGCTGTCCTGCTCTCCTTCGCCACCCCAACATTCAGCATTATTTATTTTAACATTATAATACGTGGTTAATGTTACGTCGTCGTGGTGGTAGGAGAGAGCCTCCGACATGCAAAAACATGCAGGGGCGCAAGAAAGTCAAAAGCAGTCATGCGGCAGGAGCTTAGCTTTATACGTATTTCCTATAGTTGGCCGCTGAACATAAACTTTACATTACTTTGCTTGTTTTCCTATGAGTGGAGCCCATTCATTCATGTTTTTCATGATGGGGATAACTCTCCACATTTGTGGTTTGGCTTATCCTTTGAGTTGCTTATTTATTTTTCAGGAAAGGCTAGATTTGACCTTACCCTGCAACCTGCATACGTACAGTAGCGAAAACCACGGTAATAAGTGTATCACAACTGCCCTCACGTTACAACATCACCAAAATTGGGAAATGCATGATATTTATAAAGGAACGTATGCAGAGATAGAAAGTGTGTCCATGTTCTCGCACATGTACGATTCGTCGGGGTTTTCGTGGTTTGGAGCTTGTTTTCATACCCAGTTTTTTGCCTGAATAAAAACAGATCTCTGTCAGCTTGGGTGCCCGACTTGCTCTCATGAATGGATCGTTTCCTCGCTTCAGTCCACAAGACAACCCGGCCGCCTGTGTCAGATCTGACCTTACTCGGTAAGTGAATGTTCTCTTCTTATACTCCTTATATTTATGGAACTTATCTTCGCTCTGGAACCTACTTTATGGTAATATTATCTTATCTGAAAAAAATAATGTCATTGGATGGAAAAAACAAGCCCAGTAGTTTTGGTTAGTCGGAGGACGACATAATTTGTAACGGTATCAGAACAGTTGCGGTACGATTTATTTAACAGGGTTCACATGCATGCTGACTAAATGCTTGGGAAGACCGAGGAGAAAAACGGGGACGAAATAAATACGGAAAAATATCCCAAAATCAGTTCATTTGTTACGGGAAGCAATTCAAGTCGAGTTATTTACAAGACCCAATTTGCCTAATGCACAATGCTACACAATCGTTGTTGCATCTCTGCTGTTTAGCAATGGGGTTGTAATACAACAACCATTTGTCGCACTGGTTAACAACGTGCGCCTATTTACAGTTTCCTTGATTCCCCTTCAAGAAGAAATTAAGCGGATTATCTGATTCCGTTCTGGGGATTTGTTTCTATGTAGTGAGGAAGGACTGGAGAGATCTTTTTGGGTGTGAAGGAAGAAAGGAAAGCAACAGCAGAAGCAGCTGAGGGCTAACCCATGTACATACGGAGTGAAAGCATCTCCACCACTGCCTCTTGTATACGTCCGAGGTAGACATGACACAAAGTTGTGGGATAAAACCTTATCTTTCCGGATCTTAATTCCACCACTCCGCAATTTTACGTTGTTTGTTACACCTTTTGCAAAAGTTGCGAGGAACAGAATTGCATCCTTCAAGTTCCTCGTTGTACGAATACATAGGCTGGAACGCTTGTGGATGATCCGTCTATTTTTGGGGGAAGCTTTGTGCATTGTTTCGCCTCGAGTGGGGTGCAGTGACACTACACACGCACAAGGATGCATTTCACCTTACTGTGGAATGATTGACTATAAACTTTAATTTTGGAAAATGCCAAATGCGTCTGAATTGCCTCAACTGCTGCCATGAGACCGTTGCTTCATGCAACTCCTTCTGTTGGAGGGTGCACGACAACGACGAGTGAGTGAAAGAAGGAGTGGAAAGTAATCTTGACAATGGGTGCACGTGGCATGACAGAAACGCATCGACGAAATACCCCGCGGGGCTCCGGCAAATCGTGGTTGGCAGTAAAAGTAATGACGAAATTTAACCTCGTCCTTGTCATCATCATTGTTACAACAATAAAACTTGCTGTGGGGAGAGGAGCCGGTTCTGTTTTCCATGTCTGTCTGCACTCTCACACACTATTCATTCTATAATTCTGGATTTATTACGTAGAGGAAAGGACTGAGGCTACTTTTTGCGATCGAGTTCTCCGTCCGTCCGTCGGTCAGTTGCATGAGAATGTTGAACGGAGCAGCTTCTCGGGTTCTGTTTTTTGATTTGGCATCTGTCTTGTGAAATAAAGACAAATAACGACGAACTGACCTTTTAGGTCAAAAGGTCACGACGCCAGGTCATAGGTCAAACTACTTTGAACTAAAAGGGTTTCATGTTAGAATTCAAATTGGTCGTATTTTGACGCATAGATCTATTCAATCCATGAAGCAGCCGGTGAAAGCTTGGTTCCTCCAACGTTCAATTGATGTAATTTTTAATAGCTTCGGAACGGTTTGCAGTGTACTCGTAGACCTCAGGTATTTTTCATTTGCAAGCCCATCTCTCGCACTCTAAGTCGCTATGTAGGGTTTCCAGTTTTGTGCACTCTGGGCAACATGGTAAGTTCAAATTTGCACAAGTATTCTTTCAAAACCTTTCAATCTCCTACTACTTTAAAATGGCGTGCCAGAAAACACTTTTTTACAAATTCCCAAAGCAGAAAATCTCATTGTTCAAACTTGCACTATTGCAGTGCGCTCCGTCATGATGCTTTACCACTTCCAAGGCCCCCATATTTTACGGCTGAGACACCGAATATCGATAAGAAGCCTTACACAACATGTGTCACTTCACCTACTAACCTTTCATCTCAGTATTGCAACATATTCAATGTACATACAATTTTCGTCACTTGGCTTCCACTACTTTATTACACACATCAGTTGCTGGAGTTTATTCCTCCCATCATCATTTTGGTTGTTGTCTGATAATTCCAAACTAGAGGAGAGAGTTAATGTCGATGGATCAGTCACTATTACGTACATATACTGGATATGAAATAGGGAAATAAGGTCTCATAAGGAAATGAATGGAACTGCCGGCTGAGGAGGAACGCTGGAGGGATGTTCCACTTATCCTTGTATTAACAAACAAAGTAAATTGAATGTTGCAACTTGTGATGTAATGATAAGAGAGATTGTGTGTGAGGCGGGCATGAACATTGGAACATTTTCCTAAATTATTATCATTTTTGAACTTGGATATCAACAAAATGCGAGAGAATGAAATTGAACAAAGTGATAAATTCGCCACAATCCTCACAAACTCTTTGAGGCCTATGGTTTGATATAACTGTGTGCGCACCCCCTCTCGCTGCTTCCCTCTCTCCGACCGGGTGCATCGTCGTCGTCATCGTCGTCGTCGTCGTGGGTAGCTACAACAGCCTGATAAAAGTTTTATAAGATAAATCGCACATTAATCAGATAGGCAAACACAAAAGGAACTGGAGGCATTTTCAACACGCCATTTGCTTTGAACACTTTGAACTTCCAACAGCAAAGCGGACTAAGCGGTACGGTGGCACGCAGTGGAGGAGAGAGAGAGAGAGAGAGTCATCCATTGTGCGCCTAAATCCACTTAAATCAGCGTCTGCAAAGACACTAAATTCAATATTGACCTAATCGGATTCGAGAGCAGAGGAATAATAATTCATTCATCAGGCGAACCATCTCTATCTATTTCCCAAGCCACCCGTCGCACCACCGAAATTGCAGGAGGAACATCACAAGAGCCCGCACCACATCATCCAAAACTGTTACATGCACCAACAAGAGGAGGACACAGGATGGATGATGATGCTCCATCATGTTTTGAATTTGGTTGGACGACTGTGACACTTCTTCGCTCAAACACGTTACCAGCATTGTTACACAACACATAGTTTTCACCAGCCCGAATTATGATGTTTTAATTTATAGGCGACACAAACCAGGGAGAGAGACGTGACTTGGGTCCTTGGCTGGTTCTTCTGTTTGTAGTCCCCCCACTGACTCACTGCTAGTTATTACTACTCACACCCACCCACCCACCCACCACCACCACCACCGCCGCTTTCATCCACCAAATAGCTACAGCCGTGCGGATTTACAACGTCAAACTCCATCTGCCCTAGTTAAAAGAATAATAGGTCATGCAAATTAGATTTTGGCTGGGTTTTCACCCATTTCAAAGGGAAAATTACTTGTAGATTTCCCCTCCTCCGCTATTAAAACACGAGTTAACAAGGGATTCACTTAATTCTGTAGGATGGGACAAATAAATATGACAAACTGATATGAAACATTTCACATGATTTTCCTCTCTCTCCATATGAGATTTCTCCATATGCATATGTTGAACTGAAACAGGTTCGGCTGGTACAGGCCGAAAGAAGACTTGAGTTGCATTTTCATATTACACCGTATTTTGCCTTACCATCTTACTTCCTTTGCCTACTTTTGAATGGCAAGTAATTGCAAAGAAACTGTAGGAAAACTGTGGGTATTATACTGCAGGGGAGAGTTTTGAGTAGAAAAGTGAAGAAATTTAACAACGACCCCATTCATTTTCTCCACGTCGTCGACGACCTCGTGCAGCGGGGAAAGTATGAAGGCTGGCTGGCTGCTAAAACCAAACGAGGAGGGCCAAAGTCTCGGCGAACAAGACGGGGAAGGAGATGAAATGTGTGGAGTTGATGCGAGTGTAAATGTGAATGGCAAATAGTTTCAAGTAAGTGAAAAAACGGGCCAAAATTTCAATCGATAACGACGAGAATGCAATTTAAGATGAAATCTGAGACCCAGCCTGAATTTGGTATGCCTGCTACATATATGCAGAATATACAGTGTTTTCCGCTGCTGTTGCTATCCATCCACCCTTCCTTCTTATCTCAAGTATTAGCAGTTTGGTGTGTGTGTGTGATGGTGGGAATCGTCGTGTGGAATGATATCATAATATTTTGCCCTTGTTCCATTCAAAATAGGAGAACACAAGAGTTGCAAATGTCTTTGTGATGGGATGGCGAAAGAGGGAATATGGGAGAGTGGCATTACGCATAATTTTCACCCGTCTACACCCACACACACATCCCACATCGCATTATCATCGTAAAATCGCTTACTTCCTTCCTCACTACTTTCTTTCTGGGAGAGAGATTTAAGCAGTTGGAGGAAAATCTACGTGCAAAATGGCAAAACTTGAATCGAGAAATTCAGATCATTTTAATGTTGAGAGATTTGAAAAAGTGCAATGCCACACTTTTAATGAATTCTGCTCCCCTCATGTGCTCCAAACTGGGTAATATAATGAAACCCAAGAAATCGAGTGTGAAAGGCAGAGGAGACGCCGGAACTGGCGTGAGATGACTGGAGGGAGAGAGAGAGATCGGTTTTAGAATATTTCGGGGTAAGAAGATGAAGTAGTTATTTCCAAGGTGTGATATAAATGCATATGTGAAAGCCATTTGAAACATAGGAACCAATCCACAGAGACACATCCAAGGATTGAACAGAGTGATGATGAATAATGCATTGACTTGTGAGCGCAAAAATATTTCAGAAAGCAAAATCTTGAGATATGCCACCAACCAGCCCACTCCCTTCCTTCCTTCCTTCATATCTCTCTCTGCCGGGCTTGACATAGACAGAAAACTGGCTGATGCCCCCAAGAAGAACATATATTATACGTTCTCCAACTGACAATCAGACTACTCCCACCACCACCACCAGTGAAACTCGGGCTGTATGAAATTGTAATTAAATTGTGTTTCTTTTTCCTTTGCAGATTTCTCACATACGCGTTTCTCCCCGTCTTCAACGCCTGGCTGTTGATTTGCCCAATTCGACTCAGCTATGATTGGCAAATGGGATCAATTCCTTTGGTGGAAACTCTTTGGGACTTGAGAAATGTGTACAGTGCGGCTTTCTACTTTCTCTTCTTTCGCCTCCTAAGAATGGCGCTGAGAAAGGTGAGTTCATATTCCTAATATTATATTCTAGCCTGTTTTCGTAATCTAAATGTGCGACGTACTTTTCGACGTACATAGAAAATAGATTTTTGGGTTTATGTAATGCTAGTTTTGATTGAAGAATTGTTAATCAGTCGAATAATTATTCATCAAAACGTTCCTTTAAATACATAAATGACTGGAACGAGTGAGTAGAGAGTAGTATCCGGATAAAAATAGAAAAAATAATGTATTTCTAAGTAACCGAGAAAATTGACAGCGCGGCTTGTTTCACTTTTCTAATTAAACAAATTTTGAGCGTTGGACGCCATTCAGGAGATAATTTACGAATGGATGTGGCTGAGAAGCCTTATTTTTCCCTTCAAAGTTGACTGCCTAACTAACCAGGCTTGATTTATGGACAAGCCTACTTTTCTTTCCTTGGCTCCTTTGTTCCTGATCATTTGCTCGTCCATGAATGAGAAGAGGGGTTTTGGTACAAAGGAAAAGTCAGGCTGGAGCTGAAGTCACGCTCTAAATTTGCATTTGGATTGGATGGATGATGACTAAATTATTGGTCCAATGAGACTGGGTGGAAAAAGATGCTCAGAGCTAATGAAACGAGTCCAAAGGTCTGTCCCCATCCAGAAATGAGGTTTTAATACCAAATTTTTATGGAAAGTGGTTTCCTCTTTATAATAACTGTTTGTACTCGTCGTACATACTACAAATTCCTGTTTACACGACCCAGTTTGCCTTAAAGTGCTTGATGCAGCATATTAAATGGGTTGTAGTTTTCTCCAACGGTGCGCTGCTGCTGCTGCTACATACGTATCTGGTCCAACTGCTTAAGGTGAAAATTGGGTCGGGTAAAGATAATGGGATTTTGTTGCACATTCCAATTTTGTCGGGTGGATCTCATTTTCCTCCGTTGAATTGCCAAAACCATGTGATATGGTCGTACTCACTGATAATCACCACTGCTATAAATATATCCTTGTACATCCAAACTTCCTCCTGTCCTTCTTGCATTATCCTTCCCTCCCTCCTTCTGCATGGTGAACAAGATATCAAGATTGCAAATTTGCTCACGAAACCGTTAAACTTTTGTAAACAATGCATCACAGACTTGGTATATTGTTTCTTTGAAGGTGTGTTGTTGTGAAACATGAAATAGCACAAGTTTGCTTTCTCTGTGTGTCTTACTACAGTTTTAATAACGGCAAAGATGAGCAGAATGGCGGTGGATTGTAAATTAGCAGAGGGAAATTATGACATGCTTCCATTTTCCTGTTTTTCTCCTGGTTAGAATTAGATGGGCATGAAGTTTGCTCAGAATTTTGCGGATAAAAGTGAAGGTCGGTCATCCAGATATGTATAAACTTGTAGGAAGTAAGGTTACTAGGATTACGTACTTAGCCACATCTACATCCTCGTAAAATGAATCATGTCTCGTGTGTGTCAAGATAACATTTCTAATTATTGGGGACGGACTAATTATGTAGCAATTATGTAAATAACATTGAGTTTAGGCTACTTTTTATCTAAACGCAGCTTCTAAAGTTCAGCTCATTTTTTTTTTACTTTTGACAAACAACGTTTCATGAATTCACGTCTCGTTGTAATTTTAATTAGTGCAGTTCCGCATGGCAGAGTCGACTTGTGCATAAATATTAAAACACACAAGTAGAAGATTTGAACGTGGGTTGGAAGGAACAGTCAAATGCTCGTCTATACGCCCTTCTTCATCCTTTTGTCTTATTTTAAATTTATTCTGCTGGCCCAAATAGTCGGAATAGTGAGTTGATGGCGAATTTTTTCGCGATATAGAATATAAAACAGCAAGCAAGAGAGGAGAGAGAGAGAGGAATGTTTTACTTTCCGTCCGTCTACTAGTGATTCCTATTCTTGTTACTGCTCTCTCGGAGAAGAAGGATGGATGGAGAAAATGGTGAAGGAATTTGCAAAAGTACTCAGAATTTGCTCGTTGAGAAAACAATTTGTTCCCTTTTATCCAAATTTAGCCTCATTCTCTGCCCATCCTACCACATTTCTCGGCCACACAATTGCAAGATTTGTGATTTGTATGTGTATCATGTGTATGCTGGGAGTGAGAAGGATATGAAGCCATTACAGCGTTTGTGATGATGCAATAAAGAATATTTCCTCACCGCTGGCTGCACAACAACTGTTTAGTCGATACTAACCAAACCCTTGGTTTTGCTGCTGCTGCTGGCTGCTACATTTGGTGCTACATTTTTGCCAAAGATACCTACATGACCACTACTGTGCAGAATATCTGATTTGCAACGATCGCAGACTATGTAAGCGTGAAAAGTAGCGGTAAAAGATATGTAAATTCCACGAGGACACTTGAGATGAAACCATAAAAATTGAATATGAGTTCAATTCGTCATGTAATTTTGTTCTCTGGGCGTTCCTCAATCTCTCGGGCAGTTTAGGACACGAGGAGGAAATCGTGTGGTGGTGGAAGTAAGCATCAGAATTTCAAGTGTCCAGTACACCAGGAAAGAGGGAAAGAATGGTTGGGACACGTATGGGCCATTAATATTGCAACTTATGCATGGATGCAAACCTCGTCCATTCTTCCGCATGTACAGACAATCCTCTTCCTCCTCTTCCTGCACCTCAACTACTGTTTCTACTGTTATGTTGCTCATGATGATAACATTCATTCAAAATGGGAATAAATGAGTGCAGCCGGTCGAGTATTTTGGTCGGTCCGGTGTGTTGGATGAGTGGAGAAAGCATTATATTGCACTGGATGGAACTGCCCGGTGGTGGTGGGAGCGGAGATACTTTGTTCATTCCATTATGAAATTCTTGTGTCTTTCTTTATGCTCCGCGCTCAACCCTTTTTTCCTTCCATGTCTTTTCCTAAGAAAGATGTCCATTTAATTCGTTCGCGCATACTTGGCCATCTCTTTCAGGAGCAGCACGTTCCACTCCCATTTGTGGTTAGCATTTCAGGCATGACTTTGTGCACAAGTGGTGGTGGGTAGGTTGGTGGGTGGGTGGGTGGTGGATGTGCGTTGGATGCGATTCTATCTCTCTCTCTTTGCCTTTCTCTCTGTCACCTTATTCTTTCCAGTCCTCCTTTCATAATATTCTGCCATGATACAACCAAGGATTACTCCTCCTGCAGCAAAGCCAGCCGGACTCGGCTCTAAAATTCCACTTCTCATGCATGAGGAAAACTCATTTCTTCGTCATTTAAAGGTTTTTTGAATGCGGGGAAAATAGGCTGCGTTTCTCCTCCTGTGTGGAATGGAGAGATGGAGAGAAAGAAGAAAGAGAAAGAAAGAAACGAGGGAACGGAGACAAATTTTTTGAGCAGGGTAAGACACACGATGGGACCCTTTATGGAAATCTCGGATTGCAAAATGTGGCATAAAGCTACAATTTAGACTGATTTTAATGACTCCATTGTTTCCCTTGTATTCCCGTGTTTCATGTCGTAGCTCTCTCTCTCTCTCTCTCCCACTTTGTTTCATCGCAACAACTCCCCCTGTAAAATGAGAGACATGTTCATAAGAGTTTAGTACGGTTTGGATTTATTGTATTGCGGCCCCCCAACAACAACAACTCTTTGCAGCTCCTAGGTTTTCTTTCCTTATAGAGTTGTGTGTTGAGGGTGGAGAGAAGATCTCATAAAATGCGGTGGTGATGCTGTTGTAATACATATGTAATACGACGACTGTCTTCTTTTACTTCTTCTTGGGATGCGTATACCTGACTTGTTTATGTTTGTTTCAGGGTGGCAGCAGCAGATTTCGCGTCTTGCTTGGGGAGGATGGACCAAAAATACTTGTCTCTCTCCTCTTCATCTCTCTTCCATTTCTCCCAGCGTCTAATTTACTTTTCCCCGTTGGATTCGTCGCTGCTGAGAGGATCCTCTACACACCAAGGTGAGTCAACAAGAAATCTATACATATTTCCCCCACAACAAATTCATTTACGATGCATCCACGAAATTATTACGCTATGCCTGAGAAAGCCTGTATGGCTAAAAAAAGTCGCGTTTATTTATACTGGTCGTGAATATGGTGCATTTATTGGGGGGAGTAGGGTGAGGAGGGTCTCGGGTTGGCCAGATTGCTGCATCTTATCCTTGAAGTAATGCCGAATATGGAAATAAGAGGACATCATAAAATGAGCAATAATCTGGAGCAACTCGCAAGATGCAGTTGGAAATGTATATACGCGAAGGAAGAGGAGAGCGAGCGAGTAGTTGGGCCTCCCTCCCGGTGTGGACAGATTGCTTAGTCGTCTCATCTCCTGAGGGAACCCTTTAAGCCCAGCTTTACACGCTACAAGATTTGCCATAATGATACACCTGTTCCATCTCCTTTACGAGGCCTTTTATACCGATAAAATCCCTCAATTTCGACAATCAAATTCGGGCTCATTGTTATGGTTTAGGTCACATAAGGAGGAGGCAGGGAAGAAGAACCACAGCCTTCCACCTCACCCATGACGACTAAACCAGTCTTCTGTACTTACTTAGAAATTACACTTTCCCAAAAAAGTTTGGCACTTACTCTTATGAGGCTGCCTGTGATGATGGAAATAATGCACTGACACCGACCCTACAGCAGCAGCACCAGCACCACCAACTTTTTTGGAAAGAGTGCTGCGAATGCATTTTTATCGAGGTTGGATATGGCACACATACTAATCTCTCGGAATGGCGAGGACATTCTTCAGTAATGATGCATTCAGAGAGAGCAAAGAAAAAACTTTCCCTGGGCAAACCTTCTCTTGACAATGTCCAATTATGCATGTGTGGTTTTCACAACTGAATTTAAATAGCGGTTGAAAATGAACGATAAGGTTATAAAACATCAAACGAGCAATGTTTTATTATTTCTGAGATTCTCGTCTCTCTTTCCTTCACTCTCAGCGAAGATGTGTGTGTGTGTGTGCTACATTCCTCATTGTTTTGTGTGAGCTGCATACCTTAAGCCAAGGGTTGGTCGAAGGGAAGGCGAAGAAACTGGTGGTGGTGGTGGGTGAGGCGACGGTGATAAAGGCAAAGTTTGAGGGGCCGTGTGATGTGGTGGTGTGTTGAGTAGTTTGATTTCCACAGAGCTTTCTCCACACTATCCTCTCTGGTGTGGAGGCAGTGGTGGTCGTCCCATATCGATTGGAGTGGAAATGGGGAGAAAGTCTGGCACGGAAGTAGTTGAGCCAGGAAAATGCCTCGACCTTGTGCTCTAAGCCAAAAGCGATAATAGACAAACAGGTCGGCTGATGGTCTCTTCCTAGCCAAAAAGTAAATCTCTCAAAAGAAGAAGAAGAAGAAGAAGGAGAGGAAACCGAGTACACGAGTTGGGTGCTTCCCTCCACCCACATTCCACTTCCTACCTGCCTTCCTGTCCCGTGTGTTAAACACTATTGTCTACACCACTTGCATACTTCCCAGCAGTCAGGAGAGTCCAACAAACAATGCCAAGAAGTGGTGTGTGTGTGTGTGGTTCTAAAGATGGTAAAATAGTAGAGCCGACCTCATGATGTAATACAATTGCAATGTTTACAGGCACTTTGATGCATTCACTATCATTCGAATCTGTTTCTCCTCTCCTCGAGATAAGACAAACATGAATGTGTGTCGGAATAAAGTGCAGTTCAAGGAGAATATATATTCACCAGTATTAAATCTTGTACCGTTTCCGTACACCCATCTCTTCCCTCCCTCCTTCCGAGAGAAGTGAATATGTTCACGTGTACATATATAACAGTTTAGCGTATGGTTGGAATTAACTGTGGGAATGGGTACGAACGGGTATAAGTCATTATATTTACGTTGGAAGGTAGGGCAGACTTTCTCTCCTTGAAATAAATTAAAGTCGCTCCAAACATTGTCATAAATTATAAATGTGCCAGTCTGCTTTCCCTCATCTCTCCGGGCTGCATTGAATTGAAATTTGAAACGCGACCCCTTCTCCTCATTCACAATGTTCGAAAAAGAGAAGAAACTGGGTTGCCGTTGCTTTTCGTACATCGTGGTTCCCTCCCAGCGCTTGGTTTGCCCTTTCGTTCTTCTTCCTCCTTCACCTCATCATCTTCTTGATTTTATGTATGCCTTTCCCCATTTCAACTTTGTCCCTGCTGAGGCTGTCACAAAAAAGACAGTCGACTTTGATTTTTTTCCTGTTTGTACCTACGCCCAAAGTAATTTTTATTTACACATTCCACTCTTCTGACTCTGGCAGATAAGAGTAAGTGACAAATTTGAAACGATCACATTTTTCTCTACAGGTTTAAAATCACACCTGCGAACTAACCACCTAGCTACTTAGTTGCATAGGTGAAACTTAATCCCACGAAAAATTAGAGTCTCTCCAACCAAATAGCATTTTAAGTCTTTGTGTAACAAACAATAAATTATTATTATTGCTGCAAGACACGAGGTGACAATGTGCCCATCCAGATTTCTGTTTATCAGACGATGCTGGAATATTTCAAGTTTATTTTGGAGACTCGTACATAAGTTCATACAGCCATATCTCTCTCTCTCTCCTTCCCTGCGTACGTCCTTCCCTCTCTCAAACCTCCTCCTCCTCTCCACCTGGCTTAACTAGGCTTATCACGTAAATTACAATCAGGACAGGAGGGTCTTAGGCCCCAGTTGAAGTTCCCTCGTACACTCGCACACCTTAATTTCTTCCATTCTGATGAAGACGGGAATGAACAACGCACCGACCAACAACTCCAGTCCGTCATTTGGAGACCAGCAGCAGCAGGACTTGTGTTGTATATCCAACACGACGCGACGTAATGATAGTCAGCCAGGGAACGATGCACTTTGAACTTCATAAATAAATAAAATTCGAAATCGAGCTAAAAGGGTGGGCGAGTACAGTACAGAGCGTGTGGTATTCATGATTATAATTGCTACAAGATTTAATATTTAATAGTTTATGAACCCCTATTGATTTTCATCGTGGCTCAGGCACTAATCCCCTCTATCTCTTACGTACGTCCATACAACAATACGTGTTGTGTGCAGGCAAGAAATACAGAGTGGAAATGAGAACAAGTGCCGTTTAATAAGCTCATATTTTCCTTTCATGACGCACCCTTACATTACAAGAGATACATGCAGCAGCACCACCAAGTTTTACAGTGTTCATGCAAATTAAATAAGCTCAAGTACTCTTCTTGTTGTTTGCTCCTATATAAATCCCACACTCGCCCCAGTTAAGTTAGTTCGGAGTGGTGAAAAGAAAAGTAAATTGAGAACAACGCGAAACACGTTTTTTTTGCTTTCGGCATCAAGAAAAAGTTTTTTTTTTCTCAAATTTGGTCTCATTTCAACTTATTTGAATTTGAAGTTATTTCATTACTTGGTTTGACAGAGAGAGAGAGCCAGCCAAAGAAAGAAAGCTACTGCTGCGTAGAGTCAAAAAGACCAACTTGAAATCCATCTTATTCACCTACGATCTTGTAACACAATATTATTTAGGTGACTCCACATGCACCAGGATAATAAGGATCATTGTTAACTCAGAGTCGTATCATCTCCTCAATAAAACAAATTGAGAGAGAAACAAGTCGCAAATTTTCAGTTTGCGACTTGAGAGTTTGAATATAAAAATATTCATGGGGCAGGTTCTCCCACTGATGATGTACTCGCTCGCAAAAACTTTGTGCCTCTCTCCTTTCGATCCTGCTTTCTCTGATGATTTGTCGTTCGGTTTGATACACTAACAAACAACTTGTCGTGTCCTTGCATTCATTCACCTTGTGCGAACAAAATTGGATTCATTTCTTTTTCAAAGGCTTTGACAACAAGATCCAGTCCCACACTCGTTCTCTCTCTCTCTCTATTCATCCAAACTCACTGCTTTGCAGGAGAGCAGGCCCATTCTGGTATCAAAACTAAACTAAGCATCAAATAAATCTCGCATCCAGCATAAACTATACAGCCACACACACTCCTCGAATTCATCCACCAGCACTTTCCCCACCCAACACTTTTGGAAAGTCAAGTTTTAAACTAAAAGTAAAACTAAACACGTTAAACCAAACACATTTGGGAAATGGAGTAGCCTGCACACACACAACAACAACAAGAAGGAGCTATGTGGAAGGCGCCAAAAATGAAAAGATTTATAAGAGCACTCGTTCAAAAATTAAAGCGCAGTAAAGGGAGTCGTAAACCCCGTAAATTTGAAACATGTTCCAACACTAAATTAAACTTGTTCTTTGCATTTCTTGCATTTAAATGTTGAAACACATGAGTGCATGGTGAAAGTTTTCGCATAAACCACACAACCGCAAACCATGAGATAAGGTATACGTAGTGGAGCAAGAGAGGAGTAGTGCTTCTTCGTTTTCAACATTTTGACAGCAGCGGTGGAGGAGAAAGCACCCAAACAACAAACATGAATATAAATTGGAAATTGACGAGGAGTTCTGGTAAACCCATCGTGACACAACATTGGAGCTCCGTCAGCGGTATAGCCCATGCAGAGGCAGGTACGGACATGTAGACACGCGCTATGTACACATTTATCTATAGAGAGAGAGAGAGGACGAAGAAGAGAGACAACATTAAACGCCTGTTTCGATCCTCCTTAAAGAACAAGAAAGTCGTCATGTGTGGATAACACTAAATGATGAACAACCCTTTGGATTACGAGACGAGTACACACACCTCCTTTTTCACGTTAAAAATCAGTAAATTCTGTATGAAGTCATGTTGGAATAATCTCCATTAATTTTTAAATGGCTGCTTCACAATTTCACCGACTTATTATTGTCAGCCAGGACATGCATAACTCTGCCTGCATCTCATGCGACACTCTGTCTGTAGGATTCCTTACATGGGGAAAGTTTGTTATTATTTACCTTCTCCCAATTTGGTCTTATGTGAACACAGGCTGAAGCAGCAGGGGCAGGGCAGAAGCATCAGTTTGTCATGTTTTTTTTATTCCGAGGAAAATAAAAGTTGTTGAATTTGCAATCCACAAAAGCAAGCCGTTCATTGCATCTCTTATCCATTCCGATCCAATCATGGACTGCTTACACAAGAACAAGTTTTACTTTTGACTTTTATTTCCAAGCTCAACTTTACTTTTCCTTGAGCTTTGATCTTCATCTCATCTCGTACCAGACTAAGATGAGAATGCGATGATGATGATGATGATGATGTTGGCGTCTAAAAGCAAACAAACAAAGTATAGTCGGCCTCCCTATACTTTCTCTCCGCTCTCTGCGGCATGAGACACGAGACGGACATAGAAAGAAGGACGCTGAGACGAAAGATGGGAAGCGAACGTCCGTCCTAAAAAAATGATTAAAATCAAATAGATCAGAAACTATTTGCAAGAAAAAAGCCGTTTGATTAAATTTGTCTAGTCATCCAAAAGTCGGGGAGAAATTGAAGTATTTTTTGGGTAAATAAGGTGCGTGTAGAAAGTTGGAAACATCTTCTCGAGTGACCAGCAAGAGGCAGGCAGTCAGACGGTTAGATAAGTGAGTACGACGACTTCAGCCAAACCCACTACTGAAATCAGTGATGTGTGGTCTCGTAGTAAAGGATCGCACAATAAAGACTGCGTGGTAGATACAGTTCATGTCCTTTTAGGGTCAAGTTTTAAAAGCCAATCACTAATACGGTCACCATCTAAGTAATGGTGGGATGTGGGACGTCAAGGTAAACAGTGCAGGCATGACTTGGGCTTTTTAAGAGGCCCAGCCAAATGGACAGTGTTTTATTGTGTCCAAAGAGGAAAAATTGTAAAACTAACCGAGATAAGAGGTATCTTTATCTCCACTTGGACATTGTGCACACAACGACAATGTCAACTTGTGTGAATGAGGAATGGGAGAATATACCAACAATAACAACAGCAACAAGAGTGGATGGAGAACCAATCCAATCAGTAATTCAGGTAGGACGTCGTAACTACAACCCCACTCTGTTGGTTGGTTGGTGAATAAGACGGAGCGAAGTGAGAGAGTCGGCAAACAACTTTCTCCTCAGTTTCACTCTATTGCTTACTTTATTTTATAACGTATCAGAGAGGGAAAATTGGTGACAGGGAAAAAGGACATCCGGCCACACACGAATATAAAAGTAAAAGAAGAACACATCAAGATTCGATCCTCGATTGAAAAGTGAGCAAGCGAAATGACGTCGCGGTCAGAAAACGGCTTTCTCTTTATTGATCAATTTATTCCTTTAGTTTTTCGGAAAAAGTTTCGTTTCCCTTTTTATCACTTGATTCGATCCATCAACTACTTTACTTACTTGGACGCAAAGTCAGGGTTAGAAGGGAAATGTTAGGATGGAGGAAAGTCAACCAAAATATTTTAGAATTTTCAACTCTGAATTTTCAACATCTGAAAAAATAAATGTGGTTTTCGTAACCTGATCGCTCAATATTATAGACAGCAGAGCAGCATTCTCTCTCCTCCTCGCCTGTCTTTTCCTCGTTTTTTTTTCTATCATCTCCAGTCATGAACCCTTCCGCTACTTTGCTATGCCACGCATTAGTTTGGTTCCTGTGTGTGTATTTATTATTGGATTGAATGGGCTATTCCTCCGTACATGTTTATGGATTAGGGACCAACAGCTGTTCCTTTCTCCTCGCATGTTATTAAAGGAAGAGTATAAAAAGAATATAAAATTAAATGCTGCTCTTCCCTCTGCCTTTATTGGGATAAAAACCTCTTAATACATTCACCACCCGTACATGCAGACCTATCTCAGCAGCAGCAGCAGCAGTGGCAGTAGTGCTTCCACTTCCCGACAAAGAAGAAGCACACCTCCATTTCGCCATCACACACAGGCAGACTTCATAATGGATTCGGAGGAGCTGAGATGGAGAAAGAGAAAAAAGGCACACGTTGCTTTAGTGTCCATTTTATTGACATTATCTGCATTCTATTCTCGTTCTTTTTAACTTGGCAATGCCTTAAATAAAGGATGATATTGGTGTGGGCTCTGCTTTCTCCTTGCAGCACATGGTCGCACTATCATGTTCTCTTCTTATGCCTTACCACCACAGGGTACGAGGCGAGAGAGGCAGAAACTAGTGAGAAGACAGTCGGAAAAGGCTGCATTATTGATTCAATTACGGAATAGCAACCTTTATCAGACAGTGAGATATATGGAATTGATATCTTAAAAAATATGAAGATTTTCAAAACAACTGCAACCAACGTATTAACTTTAATGGGAGCAGCTTTGTTGGTGTATGGGGGATTATATGAACACATGTGTGTACACACATGCGAGGAGGATGACGTGTCAGGTTGGTGGTTATGTGGTTGCTGCTGTTGTTATCAGTTTTGGACATAACCTCAATCAACCAATCTTCCTTTTTCCTCGGCATGTTCATGTTTGCAAGACTGCAGGGCTGAGATAGCACGAATCATTTCGTGAATGTCAGTCAAAGTGCAATTCTATCCGTGCATTTCATTCAAATGGTGAAAAAAAAGTTGGAAAGAAGCAGGAGAGATGAAGGTGATACGCGATACGTATAGTATTTGGGTTGTTGGTCGCTGCCGTCGGTCAGTCGGGTGGAGAAAGTGTTTGGTTTTGGCATGTGTTCTTGTATGTCAGGCTAAAAAAGAGACGACTACGTAGGTACATCACACATACACAGATATCTCTTATCGGCTCAAACTTATTCACTAATTTGTGGGTGTTTTGCATTTGAATGAATGTTTCCACCTAGATTCACTCCCACAAAATAATTGTGCTGGCTTTGTATTGTATCATAAAGAATGGGTTTCGGAGGGTGGAAGGAGGTTTGGGTGGGCGAGAGGGCGTCGGTGGACGTTCCTGGACAATAAGCCTTTTCTCCCGTTACTGTAATAATGTGCATTAACCTTGCATTTCTCACCAAATGTCATAGACACATGCGTCCACCCGCGTGCATCATTGTCAATTGTCATGTCCTGAATTTTTTATGAGAACGGGCCACATTAAGCTGCATATGGAAAGGAAGACTTTGGAAGGGAAAGTGAGAATTGCTTCTCTTATTCATTCCTATCAAACGGGAGTGAAGAGGACAAAACTAGAACCAACCAGAGGAGTAAGCAAAAGGTCCATTCAATATCCAAAATCCAATCTATTCCTCTTTCATTCCTGGTCCGAAAGAAATCCGGATTTTTCTAATGCCTGCATATATGGAAACCATATCGGAAAAAAGCTGGTTTAAACTGATAAATAATATTGTCGAGAAAAAGGTGTTGATCGGAAGCATTCTCTCTTCCCCTCGTCTTTTTCATGCCAACTGCTATTTGACCAAACAGAAAATAAGTCAGTCAAAATATTATATTGGGAAAACTGGACGCGTCAAATCAAACAAAACTTTCCTCTCTGTCAACCGACCCCAAATTTCGGAGTAGTAATTCAAATGCCAACTGCATACACAGCACCGCACCGACGGGCGCATGCTAGTATTATTATTGGCCAACCAGCAGTTTTCAAAATGATGTTTACAATACTACTGCTGCTCCTCTACGTATTCATGTACATATGTCCTCCTCGGTGGAAGTGGATGGCGATGCAGGGGGTGAAAGTGTGTGAATGAATGAGCTCAATCAAGTTTTACAAGGTGGGACTCACTACGGAGGGCAACCAGCAGCCATGTATGTTTCTCATTAATCTGACAAATTCACTCGTTCGCTCTAAACCGTCACATCAATATGTACGTATAAATAGCAGCAAAAGTTTTTTCTGGGGTTAAATGGTACAAGGAAACTTGCAATACATACACTATTTCATCATATTTAATGCTAATGTATGTATTTTTTTAACTTTTCAGCGTGGGGATGTGCATCCTCACGGCCCACGGAATTGATCGAGTTCAGCGTTCTCTACCCAAATTTCGAAAGGTGGTGCTTCTCTGCTTATGCCTTTTGCTGATGAGCTTCAGTGTAAAAACCTGGGACCGCAACTTTGTCTGGAAATCTCGTGCTAGTCTTTTCGAGTAAGTCTCAAAATGTTCACTATTTACCGTTTTATTATTACTGAAAATAATCGTCACAAGTTAAATTTTGTCAAAAAGTTGGTTAAGTTTTGACACGAGAAAACAACTGTCTCGTCAGTAAGATTCTCAGATTACAAACGCCCACGCTCATGAACTACGTAGTTTCGTAAGAGTCAAATTAATATTTCAGATTCGGAATCTTTAAAAATTTTAGTGATAAGGGTGATGTTGACAAATGTCGAGTTTGATGGAATAATACAGTAGGCGGACAGTTTAGGAAATTAGAAAAAGACCCTTCCCCCGATAATATTATTACGAATGGACGGCAACCACTGAGTGGAAACGAATCAGACTTTTTTTAAGAATTTAAACAGGAAAAATAGGTACAGGAATGAGTCGCAATAAAATAAGTGCAAGCCTGTCACAGAATAACGGTTCGTTTCATGGGTCTCGCCCCCCCGAAAAAATTAGAATGTTCACCGATCTGAAAATATTATTGTGTGTACATATTCTTTGTGGATTTGGTGAAATGCGAGTTGTCCGGGACACCACATATTTACACATTGTTGTCTTTTCCTTTGGACTTTCGCCCCCGCATTTACCGTTGTTGGTTCATCTCCTTTCAAACTCATCCGTCTCCTTCAATTCCTGATGGATGAATGGCGTTCACATCACATGGCACCCTCTCAAACTTTGTTGATTTTAACTTTGCATGCTACTCGGCCTGACCAAAGTTTTGTACGTTGAGTCGTCGTGTCGTCGTCGTCGTCGGATTGAAAGTAGTGACGTGCGGTGGTGTACCCCGGCCGCGGCGCTTTATCCCCATACATATGGTAATTTCTGACATCCCCTCCGCCGAAAGAGAGGAAGGATCACATCTCACCATCAGATAAAGATTGATACGATTCAATGTCCTCCTGTCAATTTTATCTCGTTGTCATCCTCATCCATCCAGCCATGCATCCGCACTCTCTCTCTCTCTCCACGACTTTCTCTCTAATGCCGAAAAGGAAGAAAAATAAGGAGTGGAAGAGGGGATTCACTTTTTGGGGTTTTAAAGTTAAGAGGTTTTGTGTAGAGCGTTTGTCCACGTGAATGCAAATAAACTGAATTTCGGATTATCACCCTTAAGCTGAGTTTCAACTCGACAACTTTTCATTCCTTCCCCTTAGATCATGTTTTCTTTGTTTGTGTATCATTTCTTGCACTGCGCCCTCATCCTCCCATTGCCTCAGTGAGGACTTTGGGGAAGCAGGGAACAAAACAATAGTCGTGGATGAGGTAAGCGCAGGCAAGCCGGTGTTTAAAAGTTGGTAAAGTCGAACTTTGTGCGTAATATAATTCTGTGCAATGTTTCGGGTTTTGCGACTTTGTTTATCCAACTGACTTTGGATTATGTAACCAAATGTAGCCACACTCGTGCAGGCAGCTCCTTGTCATAGCTTTTTGGTAGAGTGGAGTTTTTTACGTTTATTACATAAAAGGGAGCCTATACCCACGCAATATCGTTTCTTGTGCAGCTTTGATATCTGAATTGAAATTCCATCGCAATAAATCCGAGGAATAAAATTCAGATCACAAATCCCCCTGAGCAATGACATTCTCGCACTCTGGGTCTCAAAAAGAAGGGGGCAACTGCACGGTGAGGACATGAGAAAAGGGTGCATTTGGAATGGGCGAGTCTGTGCAAGGTTTATATGCAAAGCAGATAATAATACTTAAATATATGAAGGAATGGATTTGGTCGATGATGATGATACGATTTGCTGGATTCTCGTCGATCTAGTAATATTTGTTGCAGAAATCCCATTACGCCACGTGTGGATAGGCCTCCACGCACATGTAACTAACTTCCTTCATGGGAAAAGGTCCTTAAAAGTTGTAACTTTTAAACCTGTTAAACTAAGTTTGAAGCGGAACTAGCAGAGCGGAAAAACTCGCTCGTCATTATAACAATAATAATAATAATAATATAATAATAACACACCGTTATGCATCGCCTCGTTAAAATCATATTTGCCAGTTGTCAAGTCATTATAAAAAATTGGGAGTATTGTTAACAACCGCCTGCATATAGACATACACGTTCCTGCACAAAGTTTGTCAAAGGAACACATTCCCTCACTCGTTAGAAATGAGAAGTCAACAGTGAGTGAAAGTTGTAGAGAAAACATGTTAATGATATTTGCCTTTGTTGTAACTTCAAATTTTGTCGGAGGTAGACATAAGTAAGCAATAAATAAATAAACGTTGTTGCCTTCTCGTCTGCTCTCCAGGACGGAAAAGGTCTTGACTTGCAGCCGAGTTTTGCCAGTGGTCGTGGAGATACGAGAGGCCGTGTGGCGTGACCAATCACATGTTGTTTTGTACGTACATATCGCTGGCGGCGGCTGTAAGTTGTTGTTTGAGAGTTAGTCGGTGTCATCATTCTTTATTCATGGTCAGGGTGTGTCCGTCACTTAAACATTCACAAATTTCATAACTCAAAATTCACGCTTTCACCGCTCGTGGATATCTTGAATGCAACTTTATTGCTCGCCCTGTTTGCTTAAGCATATTGTAAACTTTCACATGATGCATTTCCATATGGACACATTCCGTACTGCGGCGGCGAGGCGTTGTGTGCCTTGCCTCATTTTATTTTAGTTCAGACCGGCATAAAATCTACGTGTCGGCAGGCACCAGGCCAAGTCCTTCTTGTGCATTAGCCAGTGATTTCCTCAATTTCAAAACAGAGCTCGCTTTGATTAACCCATTTAACTTTCACTCGACTTTCCTTAAACAACAAGATTAATACATTAGAGGGAATCGTGAATAGTTTAGTTGCAGGCAGGAGAACTACACACACATGGAGAAATGCGGCTCCCTTTCCAGTCACTGGGTTAATTAATTAGTAATTGTTGTGAGTGTGATGTGATGCACAATGAATGACTCCGCGAGTTCAAAACAGCCAAGGTGCTACTCCTCTTTTTTGTTATTTTACTTTTATAAAGGGCAGAATAACACAAAACAAGTCGGAATTTGAAACACAAATTATTTCTAATTATTCAAATCATACAAGAAACTTACAATATGACGGTAGACGGCTCGTGTAAAATTCATGACTGGTCGTTATAAAATCAAACGCATAACATGAGAGCATTTGTGTGTAAGGACGGAACTATAATGACCTTTACAAGTCCCAAATTATGTCGCATATAGCCAACTTTTATCCGCTTCGTCTACTCTGAACTAAACATACACAAGTCGGGACGGGAGGAAACATGGAATGAAAGTCGATATGAGGCGGGGAAGGTGCAAGGATTTTTAATTAGCAAGTTTTGAAACCTTTAATTAAAATCAGCAGCAAAACTTTGTCCCATACTTGCCCCGACGTCCTACTTACTTATAACTGAATGCATGCACAGATGGGATAACAATGAGTTCATGTTGGATGGATATTATTATGGAGGCCAGAATGGGAGAGTGTGGGCCATCCTTTATTTACTTGGATATATCTCAGAAAAGCGTCCAACTTTGACTGTAACGCTTGCAGGCCCAGGTGAGAAGACGAATATTGATTGTACTTTGTTGACGGTAGTGGCACAATTATTTCTTTCCCGTTCTTCAATCAGTGTATAAACATTCTACTTATTGAAGGAAGCATACCGACGTGGATACTATTTCCCCACAACTTTCCTTCCTAACTGGCTGACTTGGTTATATATTTTGCAACTCTTTTCATTTCAAGCAGCGTGACAAAACTGTGTCAAAACTCTTGAAAAGTGTGCAATGAAAGTGGATGGGATGAGTAGTCAAACTAATTCCCTTCTGATACGAGATGGATACACACGTTTCTGAGTGAACTATTGATTTTTGCCATGGGATGATGGAATTACGTACCATCCTGGGCTTCTTCTTCCTCTTCCTTAGCAGAGTGGCCTGGTTTGGGATGATATTTGATGCAATGTAATGTGATGTGGCGTAATGATATGATATTAGAATTCCGTGGGATTTCACTCAGCGATATGATTCTATCTGCCACCAGGAAAACCACCATGGAGAGATAGATGGCTAGATGTTGGCTAGATGTGAAGCATGGGGACGACTTATCTTTGTGTGTAATCGAGTTGTTCCTCACCCATTGTGTGGCGTGGAAGGCGAGGCGTAAGTACTCCGCCGGTGTGTCTCTCCATGTGTGCAAGGGAGGAGAGGAAAAGCTCTCAAAAGAACTGATTTCATATCAATCTATCCATCCACACCAATGAAGAGAAAGTGCAAAGGATTTGGTGATCCATTAGCGGCAGAGATTTCTCAACATTTTCTCACTCACTCTCATTCCAAAATCACCTCTGCTTCCTTCCTTCCTCTTCCTTCAAACGGAACAAACATTCCTCGCTCCCCGTAAATTAATACGCTCTTCAAATGACGAATCAATTCTGTAAATAAAAATAATTGATTAATTGACTAAGTCACGTTGTTGTTAACTAGACGCACCGTAATGTTTGCACTACTTTCTCTCTCTCGTTTCATGAAATGAAGAGAATGCCATTAACCCGGCACTACTTTTATCGTACAGTTTCTGTTTCCAACTAACGAACCAATACACAACCTTCGCCTTAGCAAGTCCATGGGCACAACAGATAAGTAGCATAGCAGACTTGGTGAGACATTGCACGTATTGATTGGATTTTTTCTGAACCCATTAGAATTCTGGTGAGAGGGAAGATAAGGATGAAAGTGTTTGCTTGGAAAGTCGGTTAAGTGAGGAGGCAAACGCACTGCTCCTCCACGACCTCCACCTCCACCTCCTGCTTATAACAGAATTTTGTTTTATTTCAGGTCTGGCGTGAGAGAAAATCCATGGAATGCCAAAGTTCATTACAATTATGCTAATCTGCAAAAGGACCTGGGTGATATTGAAACAGCTGTGAAACACTACAAAATTGCTATCAGGTGAGCTCTTTTCCCATATTTTATTCAATTCTGCTTCCTTTATTTCCCTCCATTCTTTTGCACTGGGTCAATCGATTTATTTTTCTCTTCAAACTTCACTCATTGTATCGAACTTTGCATCGCAACATAACGCACGGGCATATATGCATATGGGCATATGTGCGACCCACATGAGGCAGGCGGCCTTCTTTACTGCCTCTCCAAATTTGCAGGATATGTTTGTTGTAGTGTGGCGTCATTGTGGATGTAGAATTATTTAATTCATGAACCCACGTAGTTTACTCATCTGCAGTGTGTACATGCATGCATATTACGGCGTATGTACACATGTAAATATGTGTACATACGTAGTCTCGAAAATAGTTTCGAACATGTCTGCAACGCATCCAACAACTTTCTACGTCACGATAACCAGCGAGCAAGAACAGGGTGAATAGATTTAAATGGGAGCTCGTCCGAAAATATCTACTTCATTTAATCAATAGTTTGGTGGGTCGGATTTATCACTCTGTGTCATCTAATTGTTGTCCCTAACTGCTTGAGACTCGGAGTTGTATCTTCTCCTTGTTTGTTGGGAGTATTGATTTATTTGCATGGAACAAAAGCTGTTCATCTTCCATTCTGCTTGTCTAACCTACTTTAGTTGGGAGGTGCGACAGGGAGGTACCCAGAAGGACCATAGATTATACCAATTATATCCTCGTGGAGGGCTGACAGTTAATATTTTAGTTCCATCATCATTACTCAGCAAAATTCTTACAATCGACATGCTATTTTATTTTCAAACTCTGAAATATTTAGATTGTGGCCATCCTACTCGAGTGCTTACAACAACCTGGGAGCTTTATCGGAGGACATGGTCGAAGCCGAAGACTCGTTCCTGAGAGCTATCAAGGCTAACCCACAACACAACGGGGCACATTTCAACCTGGGAGTTATTTACATGTAAGAAAATATATATAATTGATGACACTGTTGCATAACGCAGCCAAAAATACATACCGCCATCCATCCAGCTAACCATGATGTCGTCGTGCATGAGGGTGATTACTGTCATTATTATTTGAAAGCTTTTAACATGTCCTGGTTAAACTGGTTTGCTCAACCACGAGCTCTTGGTGGTGGAAATCGTCGCTCCTTGTTCTACAGGGACGGAGAGATTCTTCGCAAATATTAATGTGTCAAGTTATGTGTACATATAAATAGAATGCAATTTCGTTATGTACATACCAGTTGCGTTGTTCAAGATTGATGAACTCTTACGTGTATAACAGAACAGAGCTGTAGATACGTATTATTATTATTGAAGAGGCATTTACCCGATACCCATTTAATCTTCGTCATGATGTACGACCTCCATTAATAATAATGGTTCAACCAATTCTAAAATTTACTATTCCTTGGAGGAAGGTTGAACTTAATAAAAATATGTCTAGAAGACTGTTATATATCTATTAAATAAATTTTATGGATTTTTGGACGACTTTATCCAATCGGATTTTGGTTAAATTAGAAAAAAATTGGTTCAAATGATGAGATCTTATACGTAAGAAGAGCCACATACATAAGCACTATCTAACTTTTCACTAACCAAGCGAAAAATTAGGTGGTGAATTACATGGGTTTCTCCTGAAAAGAAAAAAGTTTGTCAAAAGATTTTTTTTTTTTTACTTTTGACCAAATTGATTAAATTGACCAAAACTTTGTTTCGCATCCTAAGGCGATTGAAAAGATAGAATTTGCAATGTAACTGGAAGTTTACCACTAATAAACCACATTTTACTATTGGCTACTTATCCAATAAAAAGGTTGATTCGTTCTCTCCAGTACAAATTCCAATTTGTATTTGTGCGGAGAGAGAGAGAAGGAAGGAGATAAAGGGGAGTCTGGAGGACGAGAGAGGCTTAAACCCCGGCATGACTATGGCTTTGATACGGCCGAGTTTTGTTTTACTACTAGTGAGTGGGTGAGCCAATTTGAGTGAAAGTGAATGGCAAACTCAGCAATAAAGTGAGCAAAGCCGAGATTAATACGCTGTCCACGGAAAAAGATCGAAACAGGAGGACAAGGCTCCGTACCTACTGCTCCAACTACTCAATCCCCCTGCTATCAGATCCTCCAAAGGAAATCCCAGTGGACCAAAGAAGACATCCTCGCGTGGTTGGTGAACTGAACGGCACAGTTTTATTCAAGGCGAATAAAAACAAATTGAAATCTCAAATTTCAATAGACTTATTTATTTCACTAATTGGGTGTAAATTGGAAAATGGTCGGAAATCTTTAGGTAGACAATTACGTTTCAGATTGGTCGTCGTCCGGGGTACGTAATCCTGTATTTATTTCACCTGAGGATGACGCACTGATTGAAATGGACATGGCTTCCCCGAAGATCTCCCATCCATACGGAATCCTGCTGTTGCTATAAAAAAAGTCTGTTTGCAAGACGCAAGAGAGGATTGTATTGATGAAAGTTGTGATTTTAGATGAATTGAAATCTCCTTGGAAATCATGTCAATGAGAATGAGCTGGGGAGAGCGAGCGGAATAGTTCTACTTTGTGAAGAGAGACAGCTTTCGATAGAGCTAAGTATATACTAATCCGACATATTTATACCGTGGGTTGTAGCCGGCAGCAGCTCGTGCTCATTTCTTCCCACGGATGGACGATGGACTATAGTATTCATGATGCACGACCATTCATCTCGCCTCGTCTTCCTCCTCTCCTTCATCTTCTCCCAGCTTCCATCATGTCTCATTTTTTAATTAGTTATTCATAGTTTCATATTAAATATGCCGAGTTTCGGAAACTTTTTATCGGTGGATCCATCTCCAATCTGGAAATTTCAAAGTTTCCTTGACATGAAGTAGAGGAGGAGGAGAAGAGACTGGCGGATGCTTATGGTGTGATCATCTCCAGCCCGCAGTTTCTTTATAAATTTTCTAAACTTTTAAACTTTTACTTGGGGGAGAGTGAGTGAAAGGAGAGAGAGAGCTGAGATTTGAGCTGTGTGTCACCACGGTGTATCATCATCCCTCCCTTTTTCAAGCATGAGAATGTTTGCCAGCAGCAATAAGTTACACTTCATGCTTCCAAATGGCACGGTAGGTAACGGACCCTGTCTGTTTCCTGCATAAGCCAGGAGGAGAGTTTTGACAGGATGGAATTACTCAAGTTTTTGGGAGGCCCCTAATTTAAATAAATTGCATTTTTATAAAGATGAGCAATGAATTTGGAATTTAAATTGATTGGCAAATCAGCCTGGGATGATTGGCCCATAAAAAAATAAGCTTAATTTCAAACGATGACTTTCTGGGTTAAAAATTTTAAGGAATCGAAACTATTTTAGATGAATCAATTGAGCAGAATTCTTTTTATAGAAGAGGTTACTGCATAATGAGCAAGTTTATTAGGTACGCATGCCGACAGTCAAACTTTTTTTGGTAAGGAATTGAGAATCGGAAACTAGGCTGGCTAGACCCACCTCCTCTCTCTCTCTAGTTCCGAGGACAGTCTTTACTTCAGTAATCGTCATGAATATGCAACCCGCAATTAAAAGTCATCACTCCATTGATTACTTTTATTGATTTGTAAAGCTTCCAATTTCTCTCCTTTCCAGTTCTTCCTCCCACTTTGACTGACTGCGTTGCTTGATGTGCACCCACCATGACTACATATCTGGCAATGAATTTGATTTGACAAACCTACCTACTCTGCAAACTCTGGTGGAATTTCATGTCTGCAAAAAAAGAGTTGCAGGAAAATGCAAATAAATGTAGTCAATGTCACTGCCACTACGAGTTGCCCTGAAATCATAGCAAATACACACACCCGCACGCACCTGACCCGACTGGCTTCCTCCTCCCTCCCCCATTATCACGGGGGGAAGGAAGAAGAATGTGAAACCTTGTGGAGTCCGTATGTAGTTGACATTAGCTGATGGGGTAGTCTGCTAGCTGCTACTTCTGGCGTGGCAGTGGTGGAGATAGCTTAAGCATAAAATCATTTGCATCATTATCATCCGAAGCACGAGCGGTTGAGAGATAGAGATGTGAGACTCTCAGTTTTGTAAGAGGAAGTGAGTCTTAGTTTTATGGTCTTTTTAGCATCGGGAAGAGATCATTCCACTCTCAGGTTGGTACGTAGCATACAAAATCTACAATCCCAATCTGGCCTGGAATCTGGGAACATTCACCTCCCAGTTGGAATGAGAAGGATGAGAATTTTTGGGGATTTTTACCCTGGCATGAGAAATGGTTGGCCCCCTCGAGTTGATGAGATCTTATACCATCACCACACCACTACAACCACGACTTGGTAGGTCCGACAGAGGAAGAAGAAGAAGACAGACAGACGAACCGGTTGCTGCTTGCTTGGTGCATTCATCGTGGTAGTTATTGCCGTGGTGGAGGAGAGAAAGTGAGTGCATGATGAGCAAGTGGTTGGTCGGTCGGTGGGTTTGGTGGAGAAAGCAAAGTCTGAAAAACTCATCTGCATTGAAGTTGGCCCAAAGCTCTCATTCATATTCATTTATTCACTTCAAAAACTATTGCCACGTACTTTTCAGTGGATGGTGGGAGCGAGGAGGGAGAGCGGAAATATGGTTACCTTTAACATATTCGTGGCTAATTACGACTGCCTTGATGAAGGCGGACGAGAGGAGAAAACTCTTCACTAAAAGAGCATGATAAGATCGATGATCTCAAAATTATTCAAATTTTTCTGCAAAAACATTCCAACCCAGTCAGTGGTGGGTGGATGGATGGTCGGAACGTATCCCATCCAACATCAGGACAAGGACAAATTGTGAATGGGAAAGGATCTGTTGCTTCCCATGCTTGTTATTATTATTATTTCCTCCAAGCTTGCCAACCACAATTTCTCCTCATGAGAACATAAGTAGCTCCATTTCACCACTGCTCAGTTCACCCATTAAGAAAAAGAGTGGCAGGGCTCTCTCTCTCTCTCGGGCTCCTCTCTCTCTCGGGCTGCTTCAGACTTGGTGAAAGTGGACAAATTGCTGCTGAAATGGGGGAATTCGGCGGTGCTGAGATTCAGACGGAGCAGTTCTTTCATAATCCTGTCATCATCACCACCACCACCTGGATTATTCTTTCATTACGTAATATATACTCAAGTGCAGGATATGAAAATCTTCAAAGATTGAAATTGGTTTACATGTAAAATCTATGCTATACATAGGTTTTTCCAAGCTGAAAAAATATTTGTATTTACGCATTTTTCTTAGCATACTTGTAGGTTTAGTGCAGTCTGGGTTTATTCCTTGTCTTTCGGATTATGAAAACATGGCAAAAAGGCCAAACATGTTATGATACGAGGCGAGGCAAGTTTTTCTGCGGGGAGGTTTCTCCTTCCAGGAACGACTATGACATGGGGAAAGTTGGAGAAGAGAGTGAGCTGGTGAGTGAATTGTGCAATAAAAAGTGTGGGCTCATTAAAAATTTTAAGAGAGCAGGGAAGGTACTCAAATCCAGCTGTTGAAATTATAGATAAGCTAATACCAACTCGGCTCCATGCGAGGAAAGCGTTGTGCAAGGTGGTGCAAGTGTGTATAAATATATATATGTGGTTTCACCTCGCGTCAGCCGAGAGGAATCTGCTCATGTGACGCCACACCGACTACGACAACGACCATCACCATTTTACCTCGGCGGCGGGGAGCTGTGCAGCGGGGATAACCCGCAAATCGGTGGATTTGTCACGGAACAGTCATCGCTACTTTGAGGAAGGCAAAAGTAATAAAACGCTGCGGACCTCCTGCGTATTTTACGGCCGAATTTGTCTCCGAAATGAAATTGTTTTTACCCCTTATCCACTACTCCTCAAGATTATTCTTTGTTGCAAAAAGTTGCGGTTAACTTTTTGCCTTTCTCCCCAGCCCCACTTTTTTATATGCCAATGCACTAAAACTGTGGGGTGTAAACAAG